AACAGAACCATGCATAGTGGACTACATAGATGGACAGGACCAAGGTTTTCAGGCATGTCCAACAGAAGGCCTGGAAACACGGCTGATTCTAGCACAGAGTGTCCCTCCAGGGGGACAGTGACTGTCCTGCCAAGCCTGACTGTCTCTGGGATGTTGCAGGGGACTGTCAGCAGGAAGGCTTGTACAGCCAGCCTGCTGATGTGAACTAATTCTGGCTCTGTTAGCACACATGTCGGTTTGCTGGAGATAACACTACGAGCTAAAGTGACCAGGCTCTGGCTGCTGCAGAAGTCCAGTCTGACTTTACAACTACAGTCCTCTTGTTGCAGGTAATCGGTGCAGAGAGTCAGAAGATGGTTGTTCACTCTGATCACCACGTTTTCCCTAAGGCCGCCCTGCTTTGCCTCTTCAATGAGGGACAGGCAGAAAACAGCAGCAAACAAACCACAGTCACTGAAGCGGTGGATGTGGCCCAGGATGGAGGTTTTTATCAGGTTGATGATTGGCTGGGATGAAGAAATGGCTTGAAGGAGAACAGAGGAAGCAGATGAAGTCACTACGGAGCCTCCGATGTTGTTATGAACCTGCTTCAGCCTGCCTGTCGGACCGTAAGAAGATCTCAGCAGCTCCTTCATCAGCTGGAGCTTGCTACACAATTCAGTGGTGTTCAGAGGAAGATCCGTACAAACAGAGGGAGATTTCTTCACGAGTCGAGACATGAGTCCAAATATGTCCGAAACTGTAGCTTTACAAGTAGGCACAGATACAAGAAAAAACCCCACACACGATAATTTGAGAATGCAACGCGATATAAACGCTAATTCTGCTTTAAATGTGACGGGTTCAATTTGCTAAGTTACATAGCAGCTCTTAATACTGCCTAATCTAAAGATCAGCAAATAAATTGCAAATATTTATACAAGTTTTACTTAAGCTCATAAAAATACTGTAGTGCTTTGATATGTTTATCAAATGCTAAAAGAGTTTACATTTGAATTTTAATTAACAAAAGGCAAAATTTAAAGAAAACAGGCACCACACAGGCACCCCCGGTTTCCATGGTAGCGGTTATAGCGTTTTGCGCTGGACGCTTTATGGCTGTTTTATAGATAGGATTATAAAAAAGACATTAAAGATCTGCTGTTATTCCTTGGTACATTATTAAACACAGTTTTATAATAATTTATTAATTATTAAATAAATTGATTAATTTAATTAATATAATTGGTTATTTTATTAATTTATTATTATTAATTATATTATATTTTATTATAATTTAATTATATTATTATAATTACATTATTATTATATAATGTAATATATTACAACTATATATAATTAATATTAAATATATAATAACTATATAATTATAATTATATGATTTATTATCATTGAATTTTAATAAACTTAATTTATTTATTTAACTAATTTAAATAATATAATAATACATTAGATCAATTAATTATAAATAAATTAAACATAATTTATAATACTCCTTTTTTGGGGTTTTGCAATCATTTGGATTAGACAGATTTTAAAGAAAATAAAGGTTTCTTATCATTCACCTTTCCATAATTTGATGTTTGAAGACTAATTTTTTTCAGTTAAGTGAAATATTTTTCGGAATTAAGGATAATTTTTTAAAGATTTTTTTTTATTCACGTTCAGATGTGTTTTTTTTTTTTTTTCAGTTTCAGTCAGACTTTTGGCCCTGATTTCATGCAGGGGGCATAGTTACAAAGGAGAGGGGCATCTTCAAAAAGAGACCCTCTTTAGCCAAGATGCCTTCAGGAAGCGTAGGTACTGCGAGGACTGTGGCTTGTTGCTTTCTATACACAATCTAGATGTGATTGGCTGTGAACAAAATAATCCTACTTGCCAAGTTAGCTTTTTGTTTTGGTCAATCTGTGTCGACAATCACTATATACGAGCGATGAAATATGCCATTTTGTGCAGTTCAACAATGCCACACTTTTTCCACCTATTACATTAAACACGTCACTGTTTTCTTTTCTCTTCAATTTTCAAATCCTTTTCATAATAAAAAAAACCCAAAAGATTACAGTGAACAGCACAAAACAATGCCAGGGGAAGAGAAGCAGACACAGATACAGGAATACAAATGTTCTATAAGACTGTTTATGGGTGATGCAGCGAAAGAATTATAATCTTTCCAGACTCCTCACAGCTTTGGGCTTCGATGAGGTCTCAAAGAAATTTGCATATTGTGATATTTCTTTCAAGAACAGTTTAGAACTATGTTTCTTAGTGTAAAATGAGCACTTATGAATATGGAACCAGCGGCGTAGGAAGCGGGGGGGGACGGGGGGGACATGTCCCCCCCAATATAAAAGCCAGGTGGATATGTCCCCCCCAAAAATTTTACCGCAAAATATTGGATTTTGACATTTTTTTAACTAGCGTGCTTTTATTTTGAAGGCGCAGCATAGCGTTATGTCACTGTACTCCCCCTCCCCTCTCTGAACTGCTGAGTGTTTGAGCACTCAGTCAGCAGGGAGGGAAACGGCGACACAGAAATCAGAAACTTGTGAAAGAGGTAAAATAGTCTGTCGGGATGCTGCTATGAATATTGCCCATTTATAACGTTTTGTTTTTAGTTCACTTTCATATATAGAAACTGAATCTTTTTGGTTTAGTCATCTTAGTCTTGTACGGAAGAGGATTAGGGCCACTGGAAAAAAAAAGTTAACGGATTTTTACATTTTTTTTTTAGTTTAACATGGGGAAAAAAAGTCAGAATTCTGACTTTTCTCAGAATTCTGACTTTTTTCTTCTGACTTTTTTCTCAGAATTCTGACTTTAATCTCAGAATTCTGACTTTTTTCTCAGAATTCTGACTTTTTTCTCAGAAATCTGACAGATGATTAATATTTCTAATCAATTTACAGTGTTTTTATTTTTTTTCGGGGGGTACTTATACAGATACATAAAAACAAGTAGGTCTAACTAAAAAATAACCAGAATATATGTTTAGAGTAAAGATTGACTAGTGTTTACACAAGCACACAATTTCAAATCTGCTGAGCTTGCTGTGCAAGAAAATGTAAAATATACGTATAAAGAAATATAACAGGAAGTACTGCTAAAACATAAACTAAATGTTAAATAATGTAGATATTGGTTTAAAAAAATCTTCAGATTTGGAAATTTGGAAGGAATACATAATTTTGAAATTAATCAACAAATCTGGTAAAAAAAAAAACAACAAAAAGAAATAAAAAATAAAAGTTGCACTTTTTTACTTGAGGAATTTGTTGAATAACTTCATAATTATGAGTTTAACTAGTTGGAGGTAATGCTACACTTCTCTGCTTCCTGTCCTGCTCATAAAAGGTAAACATTATAAACCCACCATCCATTTTCTACATTATTTGGAAAACACAACACAAATGTAATATAACAAAAGTATGTTTAAAAACAAACATGTTAGCATCCAGCCATAGCCATGTCTGTTTTAGAGACTAGCTCTCTTCTGCTCCTCCATTAATGAGGGGACCCTAGAGGCACGTAAAAAGTTGCCTAATTCCGTCATTTTCCACCAATGTGTCACTGGCCCTCCCAAACAACTCACATCTTTATCAGTGAAGCTGAGTGCTCCACATCTCTTCCTTCATGGTGACCATCTACATTAAGATCCAAAATTCTGAGATTAAAGTCAGAATTCTGAGAAAAAAAAGTCAGAATTCTGACCTTTTTCCCGTATTAAACTGAAAGGAAATTTAAAAATCACTTAACTTTTTTTTTTTTTCAGTGGCCCTAATCCTCTTCCGTAGTCTTGGGCTGATCACTCATCCAATATTTAACTGCTAACTTTCTCTAGACATTTGCTACGCTAGCCAAAATGTTTTTTTTTTTTTTATATATCTCATTTCAGTACAATGCCACCACCAACTAAAAGGCTGAAACAGTAGTAGGACTTACTCAGATTTTTTTAAAAAGAGAAACGTCAGTGTGAGTTACAGTCACCTAACACAACTTGTGTTGAAATTAGCCCGATCTGGGCGTGCGTTTTACGAGGATTTTTTTATTTTTTGCGTGGTTTTGATTCGCCGAAATTGACAGATGTTATACCTGCCGCGCTCCTGATCGTTAAAACCACAGGGAGAATTAATTTTAATTCTTAGCAGCGGCGTTCGCATTGGTTGTGCAGCAGTCCACTGCACAACCACTAATTAACCAACTAATTAACTTCTGCACCTTTATTTCCTCAAATAAACTGCTGGCTCCTCTTTTTAGATGATAAACAGATTAACACAACATTGACAACTCTGTAGTTTTCTCTGTTCTGTACTGCAAACTGGAATTAAAGGCGCCATTTCTACCAAAGGTCTTGACAGACTGGCGACCTGTCTAGGGTGGACCCCGCACCAGCACCTCCAGACCCCACTAAGGGACAGGGTGTACAGAAAATGGAAGGATGGATGGATTTCTACCAAAGGTTGATAATGCGTTTTTGAACCAGATGCTTCAAAGCGCCCTGTCCATAATTCTTCAACACACTGTCAGTCAACCTATATAAATTCATTTTTGACCATTATTGCAAGTTTGACAAAATAAAACATATCAAACTTTGCACATGTGTGGCTTAGTGAATTGTTTTTAATCAAACTGAAATATTTGATTTTCTAGTGTGATGCAGACACTAAATATGCTAAGGGTTGAAGCCCTTGAAAGACATCTCCCTTTGCTTAATAAAAGACTCCAGTCATTTTGTTTGGTGATATGCTCACATCTTATGAACAAATGCATTATGTAAATTTTAAATGCATTATTTTTGCAAGACACATTTATAAAGGAATAAAGTAAAAGATTAAATAGCCTTTTTTTTAAGTAGCATACTTAAGATATGTTTCTGTTGAATACGAATCTCAGATTTCCGACATGTGTCCCCCCCAATAGTAAACATATTCCTACGCCCTTGTATGGAACACTTCAAAGATGAACAAAATACCGATAACATAAACATTTTTATTCTCAGAAGCACAGACATTGTAGAAGCAGAATAATATATTCATATAAACAAGGAAAAAGTTAACAAGGATGTGAGACTAACTATAGCAACTATACCAATAACTATCACAAACAATTTTTTTACCCCCCAAAAGTAATGTGTTTTTGTTAAGAATAACAAAGTTATTAAAAATGAAATACATGTGTGGAGAAAAGGAATGCTTAAAGATCAGAGACCAAGCTGAATGCATTTGTTTGTGATAATTGGTCAGTTTCAGAGGTCAATTGAGAATATTATACATTCAATTTGGTAGAACTTGAAGACCTTCTAGTTTAGAGAAAATATAGGTAGGAATATAATTCCACATAGAATCTGGGTTTAAAAGAAATTTCCTGATGCAATTAATTTTAAATTTAGTTTAAGGAAGTGAAGTCTTGGAAATGTTGACCTCCAGAGCTTACTGGGTTTACTAGAACAGAATTTCTGATGTAGTGGCTTTTATTTTTCCAGATCAATTTTCAGAGCATTTTATCAATGGATTAACAGGTAGAGGCATCAACATTTAGTGCAAGAGCAGCATAACCTAACCTAGAAATACCTTCCATTTTAGATAAAAACATTCTTTCTCTTAGAGAAAGATCTCTCTGAAGCCAAGGATTTAATCATTTTGAGGTTTTATTAGTAATTGGGGCAAAATTTAGATCAGATCTTTCTATATCATATAGAATATCTTTAAATTCTCATCTGCCGTTGGAACCCCTTCAGAGGCTGACCAGGCCTGCGACTGCATAAACATTTTTAAAAATCATAAGTCTTCCCTGTGTTAAGACTGCTTCCGCCCAAACAGCACCGCATGTACATGTCTAATATGATTATTTGTTATTCATAAGTGACAATTTTTGGTGTTTAGCTGCTTATGTTTGAGCCAAGGAGCTCCTCCTGTGCTGCCGTCAGCCTCCGGTACTTTTCCATCAGACTCAGGCAGTGAGCTTTGATCTCCATGTTGTCCAAGGTTTGGAAGTTGGCCGCCGCCAGCAGGCTCAGAATTGTCTGCCCCAAGGTTCTGACTGTGGTCTGCCATTCCTGGATAAAACATAAGCAAATGATGGTTAAATGCGAAGAGGATAATAACTAAACCAATTATTACACTGAGATTCAACAATAATGTACACTTTTCTTTCCAGGCTTGACTAGATGCCACAATGGGTGCCCAGAACTTGGCAGGAAAAAATAGATGCTTTAGAAACAAAGTGCTAACTACAAATTAATTTATTTAGGTGGAAAGTGCTTTTCTTCTTTCGCTGGGAAATGCAGTTTAAATTGCTGCTTTGCAGAAGTATTACTGGCATCTGAGAAGAAATCATGACATCCTCTGGTGTTGTATTGCAATAAAAGGTCAGAAGGGATAAATGATAAAACATATTAATATAAGGCTAATTCAACATGGTCAGCATCTCTACATACATATCTAATGACATTAATGACAGCAGGACAGGCAGCTGTCTGTTCCTCTATTGAGTTGTTTAATAACTTAATAAATTGTAACACTATTAAAGTGGTTTATAAGAAGACTGTCTCTTAAAAAAAGCCAAAACATTATATTATTGATTCCATTCTAAAAGTAGCAGTGGTTCTTTGCATTTGTTTAAAATCATAAGCTGTAAGTCTCTTACCATTTCTGTAGAGCCTGGCTGTGGTGAGCTCCTTGTGAACTCTTCCACTGCTATTTCGGCAGATGTCTTCTTTACACAGGATAAAGCTTTGCGTTTCTGCTCAGAACAATGCTCCTCGAGAACATCCAAGCACAATTCTGCGTAGCCTAGTTGCACCTGCAGAAGTTTCCTGATGGAATTCATTGACGAGTCAAAACTCTAGAACAGGCAAGAAAACGTATCATAAAACATGTTTGTGACTGAGAAGATGCACCAAATCTAATTAATATGCAAATTATGTCCACCTGAATGCAATTTACTGTCAGTACAGATTCAACTGCACTGTAAAGGCCTTTAACATGTGTTAATATTAATGAACCAACAGGATGAGGAAGAAAAAGAACACAGCAGACAAGTCAGGGTTAAAGATGTGAATACATTTACAGCAGGGTTAGGATGTAAAACAATGTGCCAAGCTTTAAAAAGACCACTGTTCAATCCATCCTCTTTAGATAGAGAGAGTTTCAAACAATTGTTGTAAATGTACAAAGGCATGGCTGTCCATCTAGATTGACAAATCAGAAAAAGAGATAATTATTCAGAAAAGCAGCCAATAGGCTCAGGATGTCTTGGGGGGGGACTTTCAAAGATCTGCTGTCTAGGCTGGCATATCTGTCTGCAGAACATCTCTTACTCTATTTATCTTTTAATAAAAGGGCAGCAAGCAGAAAAACATTGTTAAAGGAAAAGAAAAACAATTTTCAGTTTGTCACAAACATTTTAGGAGACAATGTAAGCCTGTGTATAAAGGTAAGTTAGTCTGATGAGCCCCAACTTAAACTTTTTAAGCCTATAGTGTATGTTAGTGTGTGGGGAAAACAGATACTGCAGATTACCCTGAACCTACAATTAACATGGGAAAGCATAGAGGAGGCTGCAACACGCTGCAGGGTTGCTTATCTTGTTTTATTGTAATGCAGTTTGAAATTTCTTTGTAATGTACATTTCCGTGTGATTAATAAACTTGATTACCTATCTACAACCGATCCTACAAAAAACAAACAAAAAAACAAGGAAGCTTCCAATGCTGGAAGGAAACCTATCACATGATGTGAAAGGACTAAGACTGGCTCAGAGGTTCACCTTCCATGAGGAAAGACACACAAACAAACTTGAACAGCCAGAGATGTGATGACATGTCTTACAATTGATTTGATTGATTGATTGACTTTATTGATCTCACAGTGGAGAAATGTACTCGTTATATTGACTTAAATAGTCAAAACAAAAAAAGAAGAAGGTGCCAAAGGAAGAAATGGGGCTTTATTATACAGGGCTATTGCACAGGGTATTTGTATAGATGGGTGTTTATTAATATAACTATTGCACTGGGTATCAAAGCCTACTCAGGAGGTGGAGGCAGCTCTAGCGCTTCTTGTACAGTTATGAGTCCGGTCCAGTTTATTATTGAGGTGAACACCCAGGTATTTCCAGGAATGAAAAACGCATGTGTACATAGGGTTTTGAATACACAAAAAAAAAAACTAAATCGATATTGATATCCAGGGAAATATTTAATACAATTTTTGATACAACTGAGATAAAAATGATAAATAATTAAAGGCAGGAAAAAAAAAAACAGCTTGGAAAAACTCTCCTTTTTCAGTCTAACCATGGAACGTGCTTTCTCAACAAAACTAAAAATGCTGGATTTAAATCTAAAATTAACTATAGCAAAAATAGGCTAACTTGTCTTTAGTATCAATACAATGCCAAATTAGTATTGTATCTGAATACAGTGTTTGAGTACTGATACCTTGGACAACCTTAGAACATGGGTTCTCTATCAAATCTTGCTGATTTTGAGCTATTTCAATTGACAAATGGTTAACAATAACATACTTTACATGTGTATAGCTGTTAACAGACATATAAATAACCTGCTGCTATAATAACAGCACTGCTAAAAAGTATTGATAAGGGGACAGGAATACAAAAGGACACTGCATTTATTATATTTATATATGCAAGAAACAAAAGTAGGACCAAGAAACTGTTTTATCCACCTAATTATTCCACCTTTAGTTTTGGTGTGTCATGCAAAATCCTAATTAAAACACAATGTTTTATTTTGCAAAGTTAAAAAGTTTAAGTTTTATGAATACATTTGCAGGTTTCTTGACATGTGATGAGAGAGAATGGCAATAAGTTTGAAAAACAACATCCAAGGTGTGATAAAAATTAAATCAGACTCCAAGTGAAGGATAATTAATTCCTTTACTTTAACTTTAAATTCCTTATAACCTGTGTGCCATTTACAAATAGGTTTTTAAAGGAAAAGTAAACTTTACAGTAACAAGCTCAAGATAATGTCAACAGGATGGTAAAATTTCAAATTTTAAAATAATCCAACAAACCTCGCCAAAGTGGTTGGCTGTTAGAGTGGCAAACAGAAGGATCCAAACTAACAGGCTTCCACAGCTGTTCAGGTGAAGTTTCTAAGTCTGAATGTTTTTTAATCAGCTTCCCCAAAAGTTAACAGCACCTGTAGGTCTACTTTACCATATCACAGCTGGTAGGCAATAGATCTTATGAGTTATTATTCAAGTACTGCAGAACACTAAATAAAACTATCAAAAATATTTTTTTTTTATAGGAATCTCTTAAATTCAAACGCTAGAAAGTAGAATAGTTGTCCATGTAGAAACAGACAAGAATGTATACTGTGGCAAAGTGATTTGAAGATTTCTCCATAATTTAATTTTTTTTAAATTGTCTCCTATGATAAAACAATGTTGTCCTTAAGACTGTACTTTGTTGTAACATTTCCATAGCATTTAGAGCTGCATATTTTCTGTGTGTGTCTATGAGCTTTGTAAATCCAAAAACAATGATTTGCCATTCTTCTTTAGTAAATGAACACACATTTGGTAAATTAATCAAACATCAATGATGGTGAGCCTTAATGCTCATCAACTAAATTTGTACCTGCCGTTTTGTGTTTCATGATCAGCTTCCCTAAAGGAGAGCAGCCAAACATTATGATAATGTCACCATTGTGTTTTCCTATGGGGTAAGGTAGTGTCCAGCTTCTATCACAATAAGCACTTTGAAGAAAAGTTATACTGATGCCAGATAATCTTCATCCAAATTTTTGAAATCTAAAACACAGATTTGGAAATATCTTTCAACAATGGCTTTTGGGGTAAGTTTGGAGTGAGACTTTTATTTTAGGATTATAGAAGGATCAGCCCTGTGTACCGCCCTGCTTCCCCACATCCTTCATCCTGACCCATCTACTGTATGCATTGTTCATCATGAGGCTGTTTGACACTATTCTTCACTACAAACATCTGAGCACTTTAGAGAATAGCTGCATTTGTAATCAGTAGAAATTACATGACCTGAACTCTGTTTAGGTCACTGTTCAAGGCAGCTGGTTTCACCTGACCTATATGGGATATGTTAATAAATTAGGCAATAAAAAGAAAACCTTAAACTATTTCTTTAAACTTTGCAGTTATACTACAAAATTTTGCTCTACCTCTGAATGCGTTTTTTTATGTCCTTTGTCAAATTTTCATAGCATCACTAAATCACCACTGTGAAAGATGCATCTATATAGTGTGGGTAGTAGGAAACTGAAAATTTGTAAAGATTTGTTCTCTGTACTTGATGATCCAAATGTTAATCATATTATGCTACTCCAAACATAAAATAATTCTCAGAACAAGATAGATCCTTCCCATGATTACTGGGGAAATAATATCCACTTGAAAGCTGTATCCTGAACAAGAACACTCTATATTTACCTCCTGAGACACAAACAGCCTCTGATCCCTTAGTACCACATGTTCTTGCAGTGAAACAGCCAGCTGCATTTGGGAAACGGCATCAATGAGGTATCTATGTTTCTCCTCTACGTCGTTGACCTTGCTGCTTAGAAGCCTGCAGAGGAATACAAATGTTTGGAAGAGAATTAGAGACAGTGAACAAACCCCAGAGATGAAAAGTGAATGTTGGTGCTTCCATTTTTAAGACTGTTTCCTAAATAAACATGGGTCAGTTTTAGGTGTCAAGATGTCGCATGGGTGCTAAATACAGGCTTTGGAAACTGGCAAAAATGTATGCTATATTGCTAAAGTTGTTTAAACTAGAAAATTTTCAGCATCCGAAGCCTCTCAACAGTTTGCAGCATAAAGCAACAGCTTAACCAGAATAGATTATATTTGTTAAATCTAGAATAGAATGTAGATCCTCGTTCTTATGTTATAAAGCCCTAATTAACCAAGATCCATCTTATATCATAGATCTGATTGTTTTTTATGTTTAAAACAGAGCGATTTGCTTTTATTCTTCAGGTTTACTAGTGGTACCTACATTTCTGAAAGTAGTATGAGAATGGGAGGCAGATATTTTAGTTATCAGGCTCCTCTCCTGTGACACCAACTACTAATTAAAGGCTTAACACTTTCCTTTATAATCAAGCTTGCAGTTAAGAGTAGCTCAGATAATCCTGAGCTATCTCTATGGTTATGCTGGAGGATATTGGGACCATTTTTCATCATTCTGCTTGATTCTTGATTCTATTTCTACTCTCCAATTCTGCATTATTAGTGAGGTTCAACTTCTAACTTTTTTCTCGGCATTCTCTCGTCATAGTAGCTTCGTCTGGTCTGACACTCTGTTCGGGCAGTGAGATCATCCCAGAGGAAGCCATCTGCTGCTGGAAAGTTGGGCCCTTGATTGTAACTAACTACATATGCTTTCCTTCATCCTTTTTGACATGAAAACTGGCTCACAGCTCACCTGCTTAATGGTTTGTTCTCTTGACAGAGCCACCTATATAAAGCTAGTTTACCATTACCTTTACTAACACAGAACGTTTTTATGGATCAATGCTTCTGTGTTCCCTTGCTCCTCAAGCAACCAAAGCAGAAGGCCGTTCACATCGAGCCAAGTTCTGCTGCAGGTTCTTTCTGTTAGAATTTAGTTTTTCTCTCCACTGTTGCTGCATGCATGCTCGGTGTGAGCATTTGCATCATCAACAACACAATGCAAGTAAATGTCTATTGTCATCACATGCCTGCCAATCCAAGAAGAGTAATTCCTGCATAATCAGTGACTCGATGCAATTAGCTGGATTTAATTTGGAAGAGAACCTTTAACGAACCTGACGGCATAATTTGTATCTGTGCCTCTACATAGCATGTAGTATGAATTGGCACTATATAAATAAACTGAATTGAATACCTGTCACCAACATGTTGCTGTAATTACTCTAATGAACTGTTTATTAAAAAAGATACTTGCTTAAGAGACAAATTTGGAAATTTGGAAGTTTGTATGTCTAGTTGCAAAAACACTAATTGTGTTAAAACTAAACACGAGCTTATCACTTTAATCAAAGGATTCCTTTGGTAAAAAAGAAAAGGCTGATAGGCTTTGAGCACAATATCTACTAGAATCGCAATGGACTGACCTTAGACCATTTGCACAATCTCTATGTGCCTCTGCTGCCTTTTGTCCATAGTTCAGTTTAGTGAGAGCATCTGCAGACGCACTGAGTGTATCACATGCAGCCATCAGCCTCTCAACATCTTCCGTACTGAAAGCCTCTGCAGGTGGAGCTTTAGCAATGGCTTTAATACATTCAACTGCACCTCTGAAATAAAGTAGATAACCGTTAATTACACCATGTGGCATATTAACAGATGATTGAAAGGCTCTGATTGTTTTAATACTCTATATATATGTTAAAAGGCTGATTTTACAGATGCATTAAATTTGATCTAAAGCAACCATAGGCAGATAATCATGTTAAATTAACAAATGAAACCTAAATATAAAATAAATACATTTGTCGGGACACTAAATATAGAATCAAACTCGAGTGAATATGCTTAAAGGTCTAAAAGTACCTCTTTTCCAAAGAAGTGATCATGAATCTTAGCTCGATAGCTCTGTTCACTTGCAATCCTGCAATCAGTTGCAAAGCCTCACATCCTTGTTTGATGATTTGACCAACCTTTAAAAACATAGATATGCTACTGTGATAAATGTGTTACATTTAACCCTCAGTCAATGGACTTGCTCATCACCTTAGTTTGCCAATCTTCTTCTTGCTGCCCCACTACAGCTGTGACCCTTATGAGAGTAAGGTGGTACCAGAAATCATGGTCACCCTTGAGAATTTGGGCTTTATCCAACACAATCATAGCTGTGGCATATTTCTGCTCCTCACAGGCAATGGCTGCCAGACTTATTAAAGTCTTTGCTTCCACACTCTTATCTCCAAATTCCTAAAATTGGATGAATTGAAAGAAAAACTTAGAGCCGTTAGGAATCCTGGTAAACGTATAAAAATAACAACTGATGAACAGGGAGCCTAACAAACTACAAGCTGTTAACAGTAGATTGTGAACACAGCAAACTGATAATAACCATGGACCAAACAAAAGCAAATAATTATAAAACAAAAGGAGTTTTTATTTTTTAGCTTATAAAGGTCAGTATGAAATACAAAGAGAATTAAAAGCTGAGGTGAGATGCCCCTAAAACTATGTTTTTTGTTGTTTTTTTTTAACCTACCTTTGCCACCATTTGGGCCTCTACTAGAAGTTGTCTGGCTGACTGATACAGACCCAAGCTGAGGCAAACTTCAGCTTTTTCTCGCCAAATATTCTGAGAACTCACATCCTCACTTAGCCGCTCAGAAAATATCTCTTCACCCAGCTTGGCTCTCTGAAAAGTCACAATATACAGAACAGATTTATTTAAAATTGGCAGCTATTGACATATTATTAATATAACCAGGAAAAGACATTCATATATAGCTGAACACCTGAACAGACTTTGTGAGAAGCAGCTGACCTGATTGTACTTTCTGGTAAGTATTCCCGTCTCCTGAGAATACATCATATCTTTGTGGCACCTGAAGTCATGATTTGAACAAAAACGTTTACCATGAAATATGTTCAAACAATATAATTGTGTGTTTGAGTTTACATACTTTATTTGTTCAGGTACTGGAATTTTACTCAGACTTGGAAGCTTCCCCTGATATGACGGATGGGAGTCAAAACCAAGCTCAGCACAGGTGTTCACAATTCTATATAGATTGGGAAGAAATTCAATTAAAAATGTAAGTTTTAGAAGAGATTTAGCTGAATAAACATCATAGTCAGTGAATCTGAAAGCTGTTAAAGTCATAAAAAACTAAACCAATGCGCTGATTTTTCCACAGCGAAGGACATTTCCTCAATAACTTGACAACGCTGTCATTCCTCTTTTAACTCTTCTAACTTTTTGGCTACTACTGGTGTTTTGTACTTACAGGGATTTGCTGCCTAAAGGATAAATTATAAATTATGTTTCCATTTTACCTCCACAATGAGGTCTTTGCTTCAGCTTGTATTTATTTTTTCTACATAATTAAAATGATCTAGAGGCTGTTTTACTGTACTCTGCTTTGCTGTCTCTATCAGAGTTAAAACCATCATAAACCATGCTGGGTGATGTGAGAATATTAGATCTTTTATGATATGACGGACCATAACTACAAAAGTAAATTAAACATATATAGAACAGACATTATGCATAGTAGTTCTATATCCCTCTCATCATTTTTTATTTTGCTTTAGATTAACTAACCTTCATCAGAGTAGCTTCCATGTGATGGGATGAAATTGTTACTGGTTGTATTGCTTACTGCAGTCCTCTGTTATTTCACATTTAAAATCAAATGACCATTAAATTATATTCAGTTTACACTCTCTGAAATCGGGAGCACATGGCTGGAAAGGCGAAATAGAGATATTTAATCTGCCAAAGAACATTAAGTAATGTATGATATTCTACTTTGGATGTAATAACTAGGCCTGGAAAGCATTTGAAGATTGGTTTTGTGATCATGTTATCTAGAGGGGCTCAGCATGAGTCGTTCTCCTTTGCTGCAGCCACTAGCTGCCTAGTGACTAATGCTAATCATTTAGTCTGATGCTTCTAGTCTTGAGAAAGATCTATTTTTGATAAGTTGTTATATTTTTGGATGATGGAAATTGTATCTGTCCGTTTTATACTCTGCAAGACTACCTAAATAATATTCAAGATTTTTACTTGAGGCGCTTAGAAGATGAATTATTTGATAGAGTCAGTATGATAAACCTTCATAATAAGACCCCAAAGCACTCTGAATTTCAAACTGTAGTTTAAAGCTGATATCCTCTCTACTAATAATACCTGCTTTGTGTGTTCTGGCTGCATATGTCCATATGATTATTTTCTTTCAGTTACTTCTCCCTATAGAACTTTTATATCCTGAAACTTAAGGGTGGCACATTATGGAGCAACAGTTTAGAACACTTTTGACATTGGTTGAAGGTTTCAACAAATTATTTAGTTTTCAAAGCTCTAAAGTTTTTATTTTCGGTTCCTTTTAACTGTTACAGATTTTAAGAAGGGTTAATAGCCTACATAGGACTAATTAATCTTCTTAAACTTAAGTTCAAAGCACCCCAGTGAAGGTATTAAGGAAAAGCAACCCTCTCTGCATCAGTAGACCTTATTTACCAAAACAGCTGTATTTCTAGCATTTGAGAACTTTTAACGTGCCCTACAGATTGAAAGATAAATTATCTCCAACTTTTTTTTTTTTTAAGAATTCATTGCTATACTTCAACAAAAAAAACAAAAACTTTGATGTCCAAGGCATTGTTGTTCCTTTCATTGACACTTTACCTTAGTCTGTAAAGATCAGAGAGGCTCTGCCTTTCAAGCAAGTCGTGGGCAATAATCTCAGCAAGGTGCAGTATGGGCAGAGTGAGATGGTCGAGAGACAGAGAGCGCAGTTCTTTTTCCAGCAGTCTTAGAAAAAACAGGCTTTGATTCTTTATGCACAAACAGAATAAGAAAGGTTTAACACTTCAATTAACAGAATTAACAAACATTAAACAGGATATTGTTTGGGTCCATATTAACTAAAAAAAATATATATCTTACTGACATTTTATACAAAATTTATGTTTGGTTATCTTGGAGAGCTAGAGGGACAGAGATGAAGAGATGTGATTTTTTTCCCATTCGAACCGAATGGCTGGGATCAGTCAGTTTTTAATGACCTGCAGCTCTCACTGAAGTCTGATTTTTTCCTTCCTTTTTCTGAATATATAAAGTATTGACTATTCTCAGGATGGAAGGACCATTTCAATAGAACATAAAGTGTTTCTATACCGGATTACCAACCCTAACTGCACTGAACAAAGTGCATATTTAAACAAAAGAGAGAATTACATCCCTGAATTAATTGCGATTTAAACAAGACAGATGCCCATTTAGAAGAATTTTAATACAAAGTCACTTGCAATTATGTTTTAGATTGTTTGTCTTGCATAACTTTTAACTTTTTCAGTGATGTTTTAAACAGTGTTAAGAGACTGATGATGCAGATCAAGTTGATCAAACATGATGGGAAGGTGAAGCAAAATTCAGAGCAATTCTAGCATAATAGCTAATAGAGGCAACAAAAAATATTAAGTTGGAGCTTAGATTTATCTTTAAGCAGGACCAACACTGTAAGCATACAGCAATGAAATGTTTAAATGGCTCAGTCAAAGTCCTGACCTAAATCCAACTGAAAATCAGTGGTAACATATGAAGTTTTCACAGATGCATGTGATTGTGCTGGTCTGTAAGCAGAAGATGATTGAGGATTCCCTCTGCAGATGTATCAGACACCATTATATTCACAGTTGTAATTGCAATAAATTAAGGTACAATAAATCTCTGACTCTCGGATGTATAGTTTTTATATATTTATTTTCTAAACAACTCTAGAAAATGTCCCACTTCTTAAATCAGCCATGTTTGTGTGGGCCTATGACCCAAAAAAATAATCTCAAGGACACACTTGTAATGTGGCAAAAAGTGAACAAGTTTTAGTGCTGTGAATATGTTTTGGTTGGTTTTAGGTATTTTGCTAAAAATAAAACTGAATATCTGCTTTATTGAAATATATCTGTTGTGTTAAATAATAAGGAAATCTTAAAGTGAGCTATATTACAGACATACCGGCTTAACAATGCTGTGTTTGTTGATACATTGGGGGCTGCTGGTGGTTTTGAGTATCTGTCTAGCCTCTTCAGGACAGATATATTCAGCCCATTCTTTCGTGGTCGAAGGAAGACTTTGATCCATTACAGCACAGCTTTGTCCTTTTTTTAATGGGATAGTCTGCTTACACAAACAAAAACAAAAGCTGGCATTATCCTTTACTGCCTTCAGCAAACATGTGCCTATCCATTCGTTTTTAAAGGAAAAGTCCGGTCATATTCACAATTCCAATATCTGAAAGTGCTTTAAATATGAAATTATTACATACTGTTCAATAAATGATAAGTGTTTTTAAATAGGAGTAATTTTCATTTGAATGTGGTTTACTGAAGACATCCATGTTTGTCAAAGAACACTACTGCCACCTATTGGTTTGTGACGTCACGGTGCGGTATCGGCTGTTGATCAAGTCCCACTGCTGTATCTGTTGTCACAACGCGCTATTATCCAAGTCATCTTGAAAACATTCTTCTTTAAAAAATGTTGGCTACATATTACGTGTTTTTTCTCTGGCCAGAAGTTCTATGGTAAATCCTCCCTCTTCAAGTTGGCAATCCAACGACGAACCCGTCCATGGAGGATCAGGAATCGGAAAGGTGAAATAATTCATTTTGTTTTTCACTTTTACCTGATATATTACAACATCCAACTGCCATGCACATGGGGCATTGTTAGTTTCACTATAGCTCTGGTGAATTTCAATGTTGAAGTCGATTGAAGTTGAAGTTGATTCTGCTTTTAAAGCGGGGAGAATGGCGCTAGGCTTACCACACCATGACGTCACTGCCAGAAGATGTCAGGAGTGATTGTTACTATATTTGGGCAAAAATAATATTGTTTTTTATTTTTTTACTGATTAACACAAAATTTATTAAATCACTGCGAACGTATTAGTTTTAAGTTTAATAAATGATCCATTGGTTATTCCTTGCTACCGTACTTTTCCTTTAAGAGATTTGTCAAGCTGAGATAATTGATATATTACCACTGCTTGTATTTCATACAATCAGGTAAGCGTGCATTTATTTTGGCATTATTTGGGTAATACTTATACTTCTTTTTTTCCCACAGTTTACAAAAATTCAGGTCCAAACTCAAAAAATGTTGGCAACAAAATATTTTTGCAATATATCTTTTACACAATGTTTTATATCTAAATGAATTACATATTTCACCACTTTCTCATGTTTGGTCCCCTTTTTGCTTTTTTTGGATCTAGTGGATGGAAGAGAACTGACGGGCCGACTCTTCATTATCTCATTGAAAATCTCACAGACTGTAGTTACAGAAACCCGCAACAAAATATGACTCAAATTACCTGTAAATACATAGAAATTACAAATCTACTAGTAAACATTTATGCTATGTTATATGCATTAACAAACAACCAAAGTGCCTTAAGATGTGGAATGCTAGATAAAGAGAAAAGACTGGAAATTAAATATAATATGTAGGTCAGAATAAAAACATAGCATAATCCTCACTATCGTTACTATTATTATAATTTTATCAGGAGAAAATCCAACCTATAGCTCCCGTATTGCAGAGGTCGAAGATAAAATAATGTTTGAAGGCCTATGGGCTCAGCCACCTAAAATGATAGAAGTTTGGTTTTAAATCAATTAATAAAAAGACAGGCTTGCAAGAACTGAACTAATAAGTTCATATTTTTAAGTCCCAACACATATAATTTCCTCCTAACAAGGTCAGCTTTACGTCAAAACAAAACTTTCTATTAACACCAAATTTCTACTTCAGCTTTCAATAAGCCGCCTTCTCTTTTAATGCAAAGACTTCTTAGAACCAATAATTTGGAGTCCTTTGGAACCTTCCCCATAACAGCCACTGGCTGGCCAAGTCAACAGCCACTGGCTGGGAGTTTCAGTGTGGGCACAATGACAGAGAAACAGGGACACAGTCACAATCACATGTAACCCGAGGAGCATCCTGACCCAGAGAGCAAACCATCCAAGCGAGCAGGCATACAACATCCTAACCTGAACAAACCCTGACCATACCCCAATTACCAGAGACCGCATACTTAAGTCCTTGACGAACCCTGTAATCATCCATCCAGAGGTGGAGCAAATCAGTCTGAATGAGCCAGCCAACCAATTAAATATAAACTGAGGGAAAGCAGTGGAATAAAAATGACTCTCAAGGAACCTTAAAAAGGAGAGGAGATGCAAAAGATTTCCAAAAGGTCAAAATAAAGTGATGATGGAGGTAATGCAATACCTGCAATATCTGAAGAACAAAGGTGAATGCCAGAAGCAGGTTGTGCTGATGCTGAGATGAGGCCCGGTCAGACATGATGGCGAGCAAAGTGTGTGCACCTACTAATTGGTCCAGTCTACACACCTCCTTCAGACTGGACAGGTTTTTTGTGAATTGTCCATGGACTCCAAGTATGTCCTCATATGTCTCTGTCTTTAAATTCCTGTCATCTATTAGTAAAGGAAAACAATAGGCTACATGTAAGCTTTGAAATATTTATATGAAAAATATATAAACAGAGACAGCATCAGGGGAACAAACAAGATGACATGCATTCCACCTGGTTCTGACGCTTGTTCAGGTCCCAAGTGTAGGATGTCTATGGCCAACTGAACTTGATTTTGGGCTTCAGATGTGGGGAAGTTGTGACAGTACAACCATTCTCCAAATTCAAGCAAAAACTCAACCTTCTGCCACTGAGACTCTGTGCTCTTTAACAGATTTCAATAGAAAACAAAAGAAGTCTATTAATTCTATAAATCATGGATATTTCCTTCTTCCTGGAGAGAATAGCTGTGCTACTCACAAATCCAAAACTTTATTCATTTCTATGTAAACACAGATGTAATGTCATACTGAGTCCACATGATGGTGGTAGAGACTTTGAACACTACAGGAAAGAGCTACATAATTTTAGCACATAATGAAGTTTTGCTGAATTTTATCTGGTATTTAATTAAGAAAAGATAATTGGAATTAAAAGGTTATAAGGTTCAAATCAATTAATTTTATCTGATCATATTTCCTTTTATTCCATTAAAAGGGATTAAAAGAGGAGCAATACCATTAGAGTAGTGAAAGCTTTCTGGTAGCAGGTTAGCTGTTGGTTTAAAGTGATCGCAAACAGCGCCGCCTTGTGCCACATCAGTGAACAGCACTGTCCATTTTCATCTGATAACATCTGTATGTCATGCTCTATGCTTTCTCCCAGGCGCGCTTTTTGCAGTATGCGATATTCAAGAAGAGGTCTGGAAAAAAAAAAAAAAAACAAGTATAAAAGACTCTCAAAATGCTGGTAATCATGACTGTACAATCCCCTTTAACTTGCTTTCTAGTAGCTCTTTGTAACTTACAGCCGGTGCTTGGTACCAGGCATTTCCCTTAATGTCTTGTCCAGCAGCTGCAGAGAACATGCATATTCTTCTTTGTCGTTTTGGATGCAGACCAACAAACCAGTAATTGCTGCCCTCAAACAGAGTTCTTTGTCATCATCTAATAAGACAAAAAACAGACAAAGGTTCAGTGCCTTCCAAAAAGACTCATCACCCTAAACTTTTTGCACATGTTTTAATCTTTAAAACCATAAAACATTTATGGGTTATGCAGTGAATGACTGTGAAATGAAAGGAAAATGATGCATGGTTCTCAAAATCATGAACAGATAAAGATCAGAAAATTATGGCACGATTTACATCAATTCTCTATTTTCTTTAATACATCTAAATATAACATAGTAAAACAGAATTCCTTCAGTAGTCACTTAATCATTAAACAGAGTCAGCTTGTGGGAATCATATAGGCCTCTGAGATTTGTTATCAAGAACATAATTAGATTTATTTGTGTAGCTCAAATTCAGAACAAATATGATCTCAAGTCACTTCACAAAACAAACTAACTAAAATATTCATGAATAGATTGCTAATTCAATCCAATCATACTGTATAGAGGGTTTTTTTTTTATCTGTTGTATGCATTTCACTTCATTCATTGTTTAACATTAAGGAGAAGAGGCTTAATGGTAAAGTAGGTTTAGGATGTAAATTATATCCCGAGCTTTAAATATCTTGCTGCTTAATCCATCATCTGAAAATGCAAAGAGTTTAACTGATAGAGCAAATAAGAGAACAGAAGTTAGAAAAACAGCCAAAAGACGCATGGTAGCTCTGGGGGAGCTGCAGAGATCCACAGCTCAGGTAGGAGAATATGCCATTATTTATTTTTTTTTTTACATTTTTTAAATGAATATAGTGTTGGAAGGACTTTTTTTAAAATCTCTACTTCTCTCTTTTCTTTCTTATTTGCCTTGTTATTATTTGCATTGAAGTATGCAGTTTTGACTGTCAAACCTGAGAAACCTCATAGTGCAGGAATATTTTTCAGAACTACTGGCAGTGGCATTGATAGAGAAATTGAGTTAGAAAAGCAAAGCCCCAATAGGTCAATTTGAAGACTTTTAAAGACTTTGAAGACAGCCTAAGCAAATTAAACCTTCTAGTACTAACTTGTTGCTTCATTTTTAGGAGTCTCATGAGGCATTTCGCTGAAGGTCACCAATCCTCTCTTTTTGTTGTGTTTCTAAAAAGAGAGAATTTACACAAATGTCACAAAACAAGCAAGAGAGCTGGCTTACAGTAAATGAACTAATGCTGGAATTACATAGCCATTAGGTAAGGGGTTTTCTCTTAAAGCATGCAATAAAATGTATAAAAACAAAATGTTGGGCTTCCTCTGAAAATGAATTTCTCCAGCATTTATTGGGTTGTCCAATTATGCATTTTATTTGAATTTAATGCATGTCTAGAAACCAAGTTGCATAAATTAATCATACAAAAAATCTTGCCAGTGTTATCACAGAAGATTGCTGATGGATGTAAATGATGGATGGATGTGTGGTATATCTGAAAAATACAAAAATACATTTGAGCAAATAATTGTGAAAGTTTATGTTTATATAATGGAGCCTAGGCAGAAGTTCAACTGAATAAACTCATTGCTCTCCTACATCCACCTGCGACACAGCCAATCAGCTTCGAACCACACCTCCTGTGCGCAGGCGGCAGATGCGCTGTGTGACTTCATTCAGATGACACTGTTTCAACCCACCTCCAGCCCCTCCTCCTAGATCGTAGCTAAACCTTCATCAGTGTCATTCCTCCTGGACTCTTATTGAGTTCCCTGTGTAATCTCAACCAGTCCGGCAGAACACCGCCATGTTGAGCCTTGTTCTGCCAGAGGTTTCTTTCCAACGGGTAGTATTTCCTCTTCACTGTCGCTTCATGCTTGCTCATCATGGACAGGTTCTCTTAACCTGTGTTATCCAAACTGAACTTCCATCTTCCAGGTCCCTGAGTGAAGCTCTAGTATCAGCTAATGCAATCCACTTGATCTCCCCATAAAGCTCAGCATACCGTCTTGCTAACCAGCAGTCTACAGACTGACCAACTTAAACTATCTCCACTCCACCACCAGTTTCAGGGCTGTGGTGAAACAGCCATATTCTTTGCTCCTGTTCATGCATATCAATCAAAATTTGGCACTATGTTTCCTGCTGAGGGTCTCCAAAGAACAAGTAATTGTATCAATACATTTCTCCTAATATTCTTTTCTCTTTGTTTGAGTTTTTCTTAGATTGAATTAGAATATGACAATGTAATTTCAATACAGCGTGCATTACATACAAATCTTTAGAATTTAACTATTGCACCAAATTCTTGATTTTAAATTTAACCAAAGCAGTTCCCACGTGTCTTTCCCCAACACTCTCAACCCAATTTCCTCTTATTCTACTTTCAAATAAAGGACATTTGTGCCCATATAAATATTATTGTATTCTCAGCCCTACAGAAGTTATGTAAACTTCTGACTGTAAACTTTAAGTATGATTGTATAATGAAATTAGATACATTATTTTTGCTGGTATGACTGAGGGCATTAAGAATCTTCTCCAGGTGCTCCTTCATCCACCATCTGTCCCGAAGACTCTGTGTCAGTGGCAGACAGTTGTTCCAGAAATGCCCAGCAGCTGTGACACACAATTCTCGACTGTCAGCTTTCTCTGCAAAGCTATGGACAAGGGAAGGAGAAAAAAAGTGAAGAATAAAGTTGAGCCTGAGACTCTGGACCATACATCAGTCTATTCTAAACATTACCTGACAGCGGACAGAAACACATTCAAAGCTTCCCTGTAACTGTCAGGACTTCCATTGGACTTGCAGACAAGGCTCAGACCTCTCAAACATGCTGCACTGCTCAGCATCTCATTTACCGCTGTGGGTCCATATCTAGAGATTTGTGGAAAGAAAAAAAGTAAAAAAAAATAATAATAAACTTTAAGTATAAAGCCAAAAAAATAAAAAAAAATCCAACAAATGTATCAGTGAGTTAATTTAAGCAGAGAAAATTCATTTAAACTAAACTGGATAAAAATTTAAGCCTGCAGTTGTCAGCTCTTGTTCAATGCAATTCTCCTGATGAGCACAAGATGTCACCAATTCCCTCAAAGAGTGTTAAGCATAATATCTCTTCTGCCTTCATACAACTACCTCCAGGGTTTTGCATCAAAGGGACAGTTTTTGAAACATAAAACTGTTCTAGTGTAGCTAAATGTGTTTATTGTTCACACAAAATATAACTATAGATATCAGTTTTACTGCAGTCCCTTCAGATGACATTCATTGTGTGAGTATAAAGTGGTTAAAACTGAACTTACAAAAGGCACGGCGTTGTACTGAGACACTTTGCTGCAGCCTCCTCCAGTTGCAAAGCTGTCTGGGTGCAGCGTAACACCAAGCTGTGGTCGTTGACGTTGTGACAGACGGCAGCCAGCTGGCACCACACCTGCAGCTCCACCACAGCATCGGACCAGCTGCACTCAGACGCCATGTCCGCCAGCTTCAGGTGAGGAAGGGAAAACAAGTTGAGAAGACATTCAAAGAGAATACAGGGGAAGAAGAAATGGAATAAAGATCAGGCAATAAGGAAACAAGAGATGACCAAGGAGAGAATAAGAAAAATAATGTTTTAATTTAGGAAAAAAAGAAATAAAATTAAGAGTAAAACAAAGTTAATGTAGCTAAAAGGTTTGAGATCGAACAAAGAAAAGAAACATTAAAAATGTAAAGGTTATGAGGGATAAAATAAATAAAGATTTAATGGTTAAGCTTGATACAGGAGGCAAAAGAAAATATAAAACAAACTCTTTCTAAACCATGCATACAGCTGAACAAATGGTGTAAGCTCATATTAATCTGAAGATGCTATAATCTGGATGTCAGGACAAAAGCCACTCAAAACCTTTATCAGTAGAATCACATGTGAAAGTTTCTAACAGAGTGGACTTGCAAGGAAACCTTTCTAATTTTACTGGATGGCTTTACTATTGCTTCAATTATAAATGATTTTTCTTTATCAGTTTTCACTGAAGGCTTGAAAGGCAAACTGCATAAATGTGGCAAAGGCTATGTTAAGAAATTTCATAGCAGAAATATAAATATTATCTGAAAGCTGTAGAACATAATAAAACTGACTGCTTGCCCACTTATTCAGCAAAGGAAATATTTAAAGTTAGTTGTGACTGTCCTGCAGATTTCTTGTGTTTTGCACCACACTAAGAGGGAAAACCCAGTGTTTTGTGTAACAATCATCGTTTTATGATTTATGAAGAGTGGAACAACTCCGCAGGAGATCGGGCTGCATTTATTCTGTTTTTGGCCAATGTGGAGCAATATGACATGGGTACTAAATAATAGGTGTGTGGTGTGTAAATAACAGCTGTTTTCAGGCACCAAATTTATAAAAAAGGCAACTGTTATTTTGCAAGAATTCCCTAGTAAAGGCAGGGTTTTATAAATGTTATATCAACACAGAGACCAAATATGATGCCATATTTTTGATAAATGAGGCTAATTATTTGAAGAAAATCTTAAATGCAAAAACTGAAAACCTACAAAAAGGTCTGGAGATAAAAGCATTGAAGTGGGATATAAAACCAGAAAATTATTTGAAAGAACAGCTGATCATAGCAAAAAAAAAAAAAAAAAGAATAAATGAATCAGAAGATTATTAAAAAAATGTCCATTTGTATTATGTTTCATGGAAAACAGTTTGATCTAAAATTAATATGGACCTGGTCTAACAAATAAAATTTTAATCATAATAGCCACAACAGAAAAACATTACTTCTCAATGCATTGACACATGATGAGGATTTGACAGATTTGTAAGACTAAGGTCATTGAGACATCTGCTGCTGCCATCTGGGCATCAGCTACAGCGGGCAAACAGACGGGTGGTACATACTGCTGAGGGGCTGGGATCCAAAAAATTCTTATGCCCTGGATTCTTATTGCTGTGAAGCATTTCCAGCCCAACCAGCACACGATTCATCGCCGCATCTTCATCATTCTCACTCTGCAAACAAGAAAGAGAACATTGCTGTGCTCTTTAATCCGGCACTCTATTAAATATGGACCAATTTCCTAACTCTTATTACAGAAAATACATACTGTACATCAACTTTGCTAGCAAGACCACAAAACACTTAGATGTGTGTTAGTGTGGGATAAAATATGAATGGACGGGTTTTTAGATGGGTTGGGTATACTAATGATAAGCAGATAATACTTTACCTGCAGGAGAATAATAAGTGTCACTTTGATGAGTTATACTTACATTTTAGGGCTAAAAGTATGTCAGATGCTCAGCCTAGGTTACTCCTGTATATTCTTAATTCACAGTAATCAAATTTAAAATTTTACAAAGCAAAAGAGATTAACTAAAGCAGTGGTAGGCTACATATTCTATCCATTACTTGTGTAGAAATTATATCTACCCTCTTTCAGTTAATCCCTTATTAGGCTACTTTGATTTTAAATTAAGAGACTGATTAAATTGAGACAGATGTAGAAAACAATAGACATGTCTTAGCTGTAGTACTTCTGCAGCATAGAAAAAAGTAATCACTATGGTTGAACTAGGCTTTTACAGTCTTCATCCTGCCTATAACAGTCAGTCTTGGTTTACCATTTGTTGTCCTCTGCTGCCCTCTTGTGTCCTCTTTCCCTAGCTGTTTTCTGCTCTGCCCTCACCTGTTTTCAATCCCCTCGTTAGCCCTCTCTTTGTCTCTGTCCCCTTTAAAAGCCACCCTCTTCAGTTCCTGTTTGCTGGATCCTCGTCTAATGTCTGTCTGCTTACCTCGTCTCTCCCTGGCTACTAGAGTTTGGTTTTCCCCTGATGTCTCCTTGGTTCTGGTTCGTTGATATTTCTGTTGGATTTTTTGATTCCTGCGTCAGTTCGTGTGAACCTCATTAAACCCACCTAAATTCACCTCTGCCTACTTGCCTCTGCATTTGGGTCCTCAAACCAACACCAAATCCTGACAATAACTGCCAAAAACATTAATATTTTGGAATTTAATGATGCAATATTTTATATGAACAGACAAAGTGAGTAATTGTTTTCGTTTTGCATAAAAAGCCAAACATCCACTCTGCACACACATTTTTTTTATTCTATGGCCTTAAAAATCTTCTCTACAAGCAGTATAAATCAACTCACTTCCGTTTATATTTGTTCAATTATTGACAAAAGTAGCAAAACATTTTAGTTTTATACTTGTCATTTCTGAAAAAATGTAAAATGAAAAGTGTTGGTTGGATCATCAATGTAATCCAGTCAAAGAAGAGTAGTTTTTACGTTCATTTAATACATAGTAGCACTTCGATTTCTTGTAAATGTTATACTTTAAAAAGAAGTTCCTTCTGTTTTTTTTTTTTTAACCATTTTTAAAATAACACAAAAACAAAAATACGTTCCCCCCTTTAAGTTTTTTCGAATTTATTTTTATAAGATCAGAATACAATTGTGTACCATTGTGCAACTGTCCTTTAGGTGTTTCAGAGACACTACTCATGGTTATCGACCATGACCTGTAGATTGACAGAATCCAGAAGTAGAACATACTATTTTGGGCAGGACCCTAAAATCAACCTTTTATTTTTGAAAAAATAAGATAAGGCAAAAGCACCCTTACAAACATAATATATTTACAGCTTCATTATTTTATTACACTCAGCCAACCAGCTATTTAATCTAAAAGCCATCCTCACCTTTATGTCACATTTACTGTCAGAACAAAAAAATGCTTCATTATTAATTGTTTTATTTTTAGTATATAAATGAAAACGTTTGACAGCCTTTTTCAAGTAGATAGGAAAGTTTTGGATATGAGGTTTAAAAATAGCTTTACCACATCTTTTAATAATCTCTGACTTATAAAAAAAGAAATGAAAACTAAAATGGCAGACTTTGTTCATATATAACTGAAGCTTTTTTTCTGAGTCCTGGAAGATTCATCCACCACAATACCTGTTGTTCACAAAACTATTATAACATTTCAGATCATTAAAAAAATCAATTTAAAGCAGATTTTCTTCAAAGAGATTTTTATAAATATAATATATAAATAAAACTTTCATGTCTGTCCGATAAAAAGTATATTTTATTAAATTCATCAAAAGAAGTTCTGCATTCAATGAAGTTAATGAAGCTGGAGGCACAAATGGTTTTTAACAGAAAGATGTTAAATATATATTCTCTAAATACATTTTTCTTTTAAAAGAAATGAATTCATCTTATCTAGGTGCAATAAAGATTTAAAGTTTCTTAAAGTTTCTGTTTCTTAACTAATCTCTTTTAACTTTTCAAGTTTGTGTGATATATTTTCTAAAATACGTTCTTAAATAACTTTAGTGAGTGTACTGGAGAAAAAGAAATCAGTCAATCAATTTACCTTGGATCATCTCTAATTACTGAGCAGACGATTGGTTGAAAAAAAAAAGAAAACATGTTTTACTTTACAAATCCATTAAGGATTAAAACATCTACCACTTTCAGTCTAAAAATGTCCCTCAGCACACATCATTTCAAGTTTAAAAAAATAATCTGACAAGTGAAGGATCTATGATTTGACATAACCTGGAAACACTTTTGAATTCCTTAAAAATAACATTTTCTTTCAATATACCTCTGGTAATGAACCTAACAAAAAGGAAATGCAGGAATTAATCAAAACTAGAATAGGTTGGTCAAAAACTTTAAATCGATTTGGCCTAAGATAGGCATCTACAAATAAAAAATTTTTGTTTACATGCATGTTCTATACAACATAAAGGAAATCGCCATGGTAAGTAACATTATTCCTTAGAAAATTAATCTTCCTAATTCACAATGATAAAAAACAAACAAAAAAACTCTTCTCATAGCTTCATTTTCTCTTCTTGTGTTAGACCAACAGAACCTGATTTTCTTTACATGTTAAAAATATAAACTGGCTGCCAGAAAGCTTAATGTGTCTTTTTGCTAGGCCAATTGTTTGGCATTGTGTTACCTGTTTTAAATCTTACATGAGGAAATTAAACATAAGTAAATTTCACCGAATACCAACTATAAGATTGTATTAAAGATATTTCCTGTGAATAAATGTGTATTTGGTTTACTAGCTTAGAATGTTGACACTAGGCAGTAATCACATCTTCCAACAGTCTAAGGCTAAAATCTGATTTGTTCTGACTGAGAAGCCCAAGAGAATGATCAAAGCAGGAAAGACAATGCAATCCAATGGTACCTTCTTGAATATTTCCAGCGTTGATGTAGAAAGAGCCTTCTTCCACTGTTGAGGGAGGAGTTTCTTTATTTGCATCCATGTGGTTAATACTTGTTTCCTCACTGCCACTGGGACAGTTTCCCCTGTGAGGTGACCACTGGATGTGCTCAGGGCATAGTCACACAGCTAGAAGAAAGTGCACACCTTAAATATAGTTCTGTGAACAAGGACTTTGTTTATATAATGCTCATTTAAGAGCAAGTTCAGGTGGAAAAAAAGGCAAAAAAAGAGAACTCGATATATCTGCATCCAAATTTGAAATTTTCTCTTCAATCTATGAAAAACTTTAGGATGTACATCATATAATTATTATGTTCATGCCCAGGGCCAAAAGGTGGCCTGGGAACTTTTGATGCCCACAAAGCAATAACAAATATTGTATCTGACCCAGCAACACCAAGAATGAAAATAAATCACTAATGACAAGTTATTCCTTATTATAAGCAGATATGATGAAATCCAGTTAATAATTCAGAGATAAAAGCCCTTTCATCTTAAGTTAAAGCAGATATTCATGGAGGATCCTCAGAATAGAAAGGAGGAAACTGTGTAATTGGCAGAAAAGAACAGAAAACCTTCATTGCAACAGCACAAAAAGATCTCGTCACACAGCTTCATAGAAGATTATAAGTATGCATACATAGCTGGTTGAATCCTGAATTTAGAATACTCAAACATACATCTAGAGATCTCTAAAGCAAATCATTATGTGTCAAGATATCCCTTTAATGAAAGAGTGACGCCTCCTTTAAAACTCTTCTGTAAACCCTGCTACACCTAATGACGGAGCTAATTAGCTTAAGTATGCATATGCTTAAATTTCTCATGTAGTGGTTGTCAACGAGGAGGTGGAGGTTGGTTAAGGACCAACAGGTTAATAAAATCAAAAGGCAACAGAAACAAAATCCAAGAACCAAAAATACAGGAAACAAAAAACCAGGAAATGTCTGGGGAAAACACACATTCGGAGCCAAATAAGCAACAAGAAACCAACAATGAGAAACTGCAGAGGTGGTGTTAATTTAGGAGACAGAAACAATGGGAGGACTAATTATCTGATGGAGAGCAGGTGTAGACAGAAGTAAACAGAAGGAGATAAGGGAAAGGAGAATGGTACAAGGGGGCAACAGAGAACAATTCAAATAAATACAAGACTGCTTAGATATAAGCAAACGGAAAAGAAACCAATTAACAGTAAAACATAGAATAACAATAAATTAAAGTGGAACAGAAAACTTAAAAAGAAACTCAAATACTCAAATCCACAAGGGGAGAACCATAACAGTAGTACACTTGGATGTTCTAGAAATCAAACTTGATTTCAGAATTCCGGTAAAAGACACATAATCTATAAAGGAAAAGTAGATAATAACTTTAATTGTTTCCTTTTTGATATGGTGTTATGGGATTTGAAAATAACAGCAGTTTTAAAAATAAGATTAGGAAAAAAAACACTATAGAAAATAGTAATTGACATTTATCTGTTTGGTTAAACAGCTATTTCTAAAAAAAAAAAAAAAAAAAAGTGGGATGCAATTAAACCAAAGTCAGATAATTGAAAAATCAACAGCATTGATCATTGGTGAACCTTAACAGGATGGACTGGTAAACAAATGTACTTTAATTATTCAAATTATTCTTGAGTATTCTGTACCCAATGCAGTTTAAAAACCTTAAAAAAAAGAATGGTCTTGGGTTAGCACAAAGACTCTTCCTTGCTAGATTATGCTAAAAAGAGACTTCACTTTATTGAAATCAAGTAGTAAATAGTCTGACAACGTGTCAGGGCAGCATGATAGTTTTACATTTCTGTAGACTGGAAATCATAAGTGCCTCACATATTTTAATTATCCTTTTTTATTCAATAATCTAGGTTCCTGTTTGTTCTTCTATGTTTAGTTTCATAATTACATTTTTATATACAGTATATTCTGTTGGTATATAATAGAACTGGCACAATAAATTGGAAAAAATGTAATGACGTACTACTTTTTTTTTTTGATATTAAGAATAACGTAAAAAATATTTTGCCCTTAATCTATCCATCTTCTCCGTCTTACTCAGAGTGGGGCTGGTCCCTATTTCTGGTAGGAATGAAAAAGCACCCACAGCGCAAACATGACCTAACAGTCTTGTTTTTGGACTGCTGGAGGAACCCAACTTTAGATTAATTTGTTATTTGATAACTCGCATCCTCAGCTCCATGTAATGTGCATTGAATTTCCCCTGCATCTCCAGCTTTTAAGCAGAAATATTTGGAACTTTTCAGAATTGTATCCATCTAAATTAAACTGTCTGTTCAGTCTGAATAGAGAGTCCCTCAGGATGATGCCCCCACCGCCATGTTTCACAGTGGTTATGGCGCTGTTCGGTGAGGCATTGTGCTAAATATATAGAATCTTCCTAAATTTTAGCGAAAATTGTTGTAATTTGTTTCACTCAGTTAATATTTGGAGGCTTCAACAAAGGATTCGTTTAGAGATGTGGACACATATAAAACTATGAAATATAGATAAACCTTCTAAACGAAGAACATGTCATCAGGCAGTTTTATGGCTATGCAGTGATACTTACCTCTGATGCTCTTTGTACTTCCTGCAGGGCAGCATTGTCTAAGCGAACACTGGAGGTGCTGGCAGTCGGTTTTATTCCCTTCTCTGTTCTGCTTTCACCACTGGTCTTGCTGCAATCTCTTGCAACCAGAGGCTGGATCAGCCCACGAGCAACAGCATCACAAAGAATTACATACAGGGTATGGTTCCTGAGAAAAACAACATAAAGTCTGACATCATTACAAACAAGCAGGTTACGTTTGATGATGCATCAATGTGCTACTTTTGGTAAAATGAATACCTATATTCTTCTAGACAACAGTGTCCCTGGCTAAACTGTTGGGTTTGGATATTAGTCTAAAAAGTTTTATGTTTGTCAAATAATTACACCATTTTAATACTTTGCTGATTATTGATGAATTTCACATCAAATGTAGGTGTTCAAAAGGAGTCTTAACACTGTTGTTGTTGAGGCAGCTAGTTTTTATAAGCAATGACATGAAAAAAAATTCTTTCAACAACCTTCCATATAACATCTTATCCATATCATCTTGAAATAATCATTTTTTTTGTCAAAAAACTGGAGAGTAAAATAATTAATAAAATTGAGCTACCTAATAGTTTTCATCCTTTGGAACATTTCCACTAGATTTTGGAAGGTAGGAAGCAGGAAGTGGTACTCCCCAGCAGTCAGTACGTGGTGGTTATAGTTCCATAAGTAAACGGCTGCATTTTCTACCAGCCAAGACTCCCCAATCTCTACCCCGATTTCTCCTCCCCGCAAGAAGCCAGAGGTGGCGTAGGAAGACAGAGCACTGATCCAGTCCCTGCAAAACATTACAACAGGTAAAGCTTATAGTGGGAATGGATGAAGTAATCAGGCGAGGAAGAGGCAGGAAAAAACAACAACACAGATTTCCTATGAGTTCTAAAGATTTAAAAAATAATTAATATGAAAACTTAAGAGTTTTGTTTTAATGAATCAAATTGCAGACTGACATTTTCCTTACAGACTCTGCAAAAGTATCAAATGTAATGATTTTCCAGATCTACACAACTATAAATACACTATAAATACAATACACTATAAACTATAAATACAGTTTATAAAAAAAACTTGTCTTTCCAGATTATTTTCCAAATCATTTTTAAGGGGTAAACATCTAATGAGGCCTATCAAATGCAGAGGTGTTAACAACAATGAAAAATTGTTCTAACATGAGAAATTGAAATTGATCAAGTCAAAAACTTGATTTTAATATTTTAAGCATTGATATTGTTGGTAGTTGATTCACTATTTAAATGTTAACTAATTTAAAAACCAGCTTAAATTTAGGTTAAGCCAGACCTACTGTTCCTTAAAGTACTGTGTATATAAACTGAGGCTTTTACCATTCAAGTAATACATTTATTCTACATAGCCTAATGTTTTCAGAGTGTTTATTAAAAATGGTATAAACTGAAAGAAAAAATATCAGTTTTATCATGATTCCATATTCAAAGAAGAAAAATAGCTTCTATCCATCTATCATCTAAAGCCGTTTTTTTTTTAATGTGCATTTGGAGTAAAACTTGTATATTTTATCTAATGTAAACATGCAAATTTAAATCTGTATACAACCTACATAGTTACAGAGAGCTGCTTTCATCAGAAAAGCATATCGGGGACACTCAAATTTAAGTCTAGCTAGCCTTTACATTTTCCCTGGAGCATTTTATCATATAATAAAAATTGAATTAATTCTATAAGCCTGCAGGAATATACAAAAGTTATCTTAACCTGTAAACAACCCAGTGTGGATCCTCCTCTGTAACACCCCCAACCTTTCCCTGTGGTGGCACCGCTGGGCTGTTAAGTTGCACTCCCTCTTCGAACAACTTGTGGACAGTGGCCTAAAAAGAGAGATCAAGTCATTTCTTTTCCTGCTTAAAAGCTGACATTAAAGGTGAGATCCTATTTTGATGACTTTATAATAAGAGCAAGTAAGAATTCAATTCTAACTGTGGTTATGACAACGTCTCAAGTGTCATTAAAGCTTGCTGTATAGATCAAAGAAAAAAAGAAAAGAAAGGACCAATGGCGGATAGTTTAGGTAAGACTAGAGGAGCTGATATTAATCATCAGAATAAATTAATGAATTACAAACCAGTTTCCAGGAAACTTAGACATGTGTCATAGAACAAAGCAAAAGGAACATGAAAGAAGCAAGAGAAGACAGTGCAGTGTGTGTTTGTGTGTGCATGTGTGATGTTTTGGCAAGGTCATGTTGTGGCTGTGCATGGTTGTCTTTATTTTCTTCAAAGTGCTGTCAAGTTAACGTCTCTATATGCTTAATGAAGACTTAAGGCTGCAGGCTTGATGTGGTGCAGGATTACGCAGAAAGACAAGCTCATATGACAAGCCCAACAACTTCTGACTCGGACCAATCGCTGTGTAGCCCCACGGGGTTGTTAAAAAAATAATCCCATAATGCATGAACTCTTCTCTGTGGAATATTTGTTGATGAGCTTGAGAAAAGGAACAAACAGCATTATTTTAAGTGAAATCTAAAATATGTGACTGTAAACAAGAATCCCTGAAAATAAATGTACAAAAATTGTATAGGAAAAGTAAAAAAAAACAAGGTTATTTTTGTTCATTTTTATGAGTATTTGTTTAAACTTAAGAGAATATATTTAAGGAATAAATCACAAATTTTTGCTAAGAACTTAACATTCCTCAACTATCTACATCATCTATATTTGTTTTATTTTAGATGAGATATTAATAAAAAGAGGTACTTTAATAATATTGAGCAATTTACTTTAAATACACTGAATCTTAACTTGCATTGAAACAACAAAGGTATCTAAAAAGCATCTCAGTGTTTGAAAATCAAAAATAAGGTAATGTTCCTAATTATCTCAATAGAAAAGCAGCAATCAAACACATCCAATTATCTAAAGAAATTCAAATCCAAATAGTCCTGCTGAGGTCATTGTCTTCAAAGCAGAGGAAGCACATAGGAAAAGGGTTTGGATATTTATCTGCAATAAGGTCAGAATAACACTTCATTTACCTTTCAAAAAAGTTGTAAATAGTCAACTAGAAATCTTTTGAGATTTAAAACATACATATTTCAAAACACACCTCAGCCGAGATGAAGCAGACTTCTGCAAAAAGACGTAATGAGTGCACAGAGTTTTCGTTTCCACGGCGGGGATGATGAGACTCTGCACTGCTTTTTTCCCCTGAGCTTTTATGTTCTACAGGGAGTAACAAAAAAAAAAAACAAAAAAAAAAAACAGATTTAGAATGCAAACCAAAGACAAAAATATTTGTCATGACTGTTAACATTAAAAATTATTTCTCTTCAAATTTTATTTAGCAAAACTCTTGATAAACCATAACAAACTGTTATACCCTCAACTGTAGGTGGATTTATAAACAGGATACACTTTATTTGAAAGAAGATGCAATTATATCATGTGACATTATCATGTGTAATGATAGCTACCTTAGCTTTAACACAAGGGCTTTGGGGTATTTTACATGCATCCAGCATTGGGATTTTTACCATAATAATTTAGGACTAAAATAAAAATCTTTAAATTTTTCAAAGGCGGAATCAATTGTCCCCAGTGGTCACTGGTCGGGCTCCAAACCAAGGAAACACAGAGAAACATGGGACAAACTACACACACTTACACATAAAGGCAGTTTAGACTTAGACTTGTAGTGACAGATTTTATTGTCATTTTGTATACACAAGTGTAAACAAAGAAAAAGAAATTCAACTTATTCAATTCAAAAACAGCTCTCTCGACTATTTCATTTTTTAAAGTGCAGCCTTGATGAGGTAAGCAACAGTGATAAAAAAATATTGTGATGAAAAACAGTTATGTAAACATATGACTGTATAGTTACAGTTCTAAGATTCAGTTTAGAAGAAACCAATCCAACAAGTTTAAAGAAACCAATTAACCAACAGTCTGTGTTTTCGGACTGTGAGAAAACAAACAAACTCCTGGCAGAGTGCTACCAACATACAGCCCTCAAGTTTGGTGAGATGATTGGAATTGGACTCAAAAGTGTACAAATATTCAGGAAGTATTGTGCCAGAGGTGTGTTAATGTGACTTACAGGTGAGTTGCAACTGACTAAGGAACATTTCATCTTGTGGAACTGAGGGTACATGTTTACATTTCAGCCTGTATGAAAATCTGACTGTGCACAATAGAGATAATTCAAAACTCTTTAAAGTTCAATTCAATCATTACTTTACTTTTCTTTAGAAGCTGTAAATAAATATGTTTATGGTTATAATGGATGCTTTTAAACTTTTCACCCATATCGCTCTTTAACTCTTTTGCAAAGATATTAATCAGCTTACCCTTAGTCTTTGATCGCTTTGATGGTCCATCATCATAAAGCAAACAGAACCGACAAGCAGCCCGGCACACATCCCAGACTTCCTGTTTCCTCGCTGTCTTTGCTAGCATTGCCCAAAGCTTAACCCTAACAGAGATAAAAAAATAAAAAAAAAGATTTATTTCTGTAGCTTGATTAGCTGAAATGTGATTTGTAATTTGTGAATAACTGTGCATGCCCTTAGGATCAAGCTTGTTATAAACTTTCAGGTCAGTAGCAGCAGAATAAATAGAGCAGCCAATACTACACTGTAAATGGGAAGTTGTAATGAAACTGGACTGCTATACTTACACAAGGGGTTTTACTGCTGACCGGACCAATAAATTAAATATTCATTAGCATCTAATGTTCTGTAATCATGGATGGAAGTAAATTCAACCATCCATAAATGTCTCAGTATACTGTTAAACTTCCTACTGCATTTCAGAAAGTGTAATGCATTTTACAGTATTCACACCAGTCTTTCATTCTGCCACATTAAAACAATAAACTATAATGTAATTTTTTTCTGTAGTGGTCCTGCTTAAAGAAACCAGTAGTAATGGTAATTATGAAAAAAAACAAAAACATATTGCATGGTTTAAAATATGCTTAGAGCTAAAAGTCAGATTAGTGTTGCATGTGTTTGACTCAGATCCCCTCAGTGTTTGTAGAACCTTTTGTCACAGATACTAGCTTTCCTGTGACTGCTAGAGTGAAACATCCCCACATTTAATTCAATTCAGTTATTTATATAATGCCAATTCAAAACACAAGTCATCTCAGGTTACTATATAGAGATAATTCAGCTAATGCTTCCACCACCATATAAAGTTTAGTCCTTTCTGACAGAAAAGCATCCTTTCATCTGGGTGTATGTCCCAAATATTCAACCAGATGCAGAGCCGGGTTCTTCTGGCTTTCTTTCTACAATTTAACAGTCTTGGCCACTCTTACATTGAGGCTAGAGCTGGAGGAGCTGTGGATATCTGCAGCTCCTCTTTGCTTCATCTGTCTAATACTCTCCTTGCTTAGCCATTAAGATTTACAGTTTTGTCCCACTCTTTCCATTCTCAGATGTAATCTAGCCCAACTTTATTCATAAAACATTAATAAACAAACACAGAGTACAAAGTGTTGAACGAACAACACCACTGGCAAAATACAACATAAGACAAATATAAACACATTAAAGGTTGGGATTAAATATAGAAGCACACACCTTACTGTATGATCTTGATCTTTTCTTTGTCTGTCCAGGTAACCATTCAGCCTCTCCACACAGATGGAATGATGCTGAGCCTTAGCAGCCAGACTAGCCATCAGCTCTGATCCAGTACTTCCTATAGGAACTACACAGTGGTAGTAGAAATCAGTCTCTAAAAAGCTTCTTATTTTTCTAAAATAATAATATTATTAAACAAATAAGAAAAAAAGCACATTCATAAGCTTCAAAGACCTTAACCTTAAAACCGGCAAAGGTGCAACACGACACTGGTTAAATCCATAACTCTCAAGGGCTTCATCAGGGGCTAGCTTTGAAGAAAAGAGTGCAATTATTGTGTCTTCATGTAGAGAGATGCTTCAGGTCCAACCACCAAGCAAAGTGCCTCTAGGGAGCAAAGCTTTTAACCCATGTGTGAGAAAAAAAGCCCTTTGACTAGCTGTCAATGCAAGTTATGCCCTGGGTCGTTAGGGCTGCATAGTGTTTAAGTCAAACTTTGGACCAAGGAGTCTGGGATGAGGCAGATCAAAGGCTCTCTCAAAGCTCAGAGCCTTCTGCCCTCCAAATTTTCTACCAGCATTTGATGGGGACTCAACCAGTACAACAAGGAAAGACAGATTTAAAGATAAAATATTCCAAGTGTTGAGCCTTTCTTTCTATAAACATGTTTTACCATTCTAAAGAGAAGAGCTGTACTGATCTGTACTGGTTGCTAACCCTGCCTCTAGTTTGAATGTAATCAGTGTCTGTCCTACTCCTGCAGCATCACATTATTTAACCTTCCCTTCAGGTGCATTTTAAATGAAGGCTCAAAAGCAAAGATCTCTTCTTGAATTAGAGGTCCCATATTATATTACATTTGAAAACAAAAAATATTAACAATGAGGCCCCCAAATCAGGTTTTTTTTTTTTTTTTTTTTTTTTACCATTTGCGCGCCATTTGCTGAGAGTCTTTACAAAAAAATATTATTTTCCTCCCAAAGGCTGCGGACCCAGAAGCCGCAACCATGACATTCAATCAGAGTTCATAAAGATAGCCTGGGAGTGAGTAATAATACATTAGATGAAGGTGTAGCTCTACCAATGGGCTGCTACAGACCGCATTGGACAGCTTATTTCCCCTGATAATGTCATCAGCAGAAGACGTTTCCAAAAGACCATTTTGAGCACACATTAGCTAAGAGGTGGAGAAAGGCAATGATAGAAGTGAAAGGTTTTTTTTTTCATTTTTGAATCTAATACACAGGCTTGAGGACACATATGACTGTTACAAAATGTTTAAAATGTAAAATTTTGCATAGTATGGGACATTTAAAAAGATAACACAGAACAGTAATGCAATAACAGTGGCTGTGGGATGTAGTGTGTAGTAATGAGACATGTATTCAGATGTATGTATTTAAGTATCTTTTATATTTGTAATAATGTAGGTTTTAATCTTCATACAAGGCTGAATAAAGATTATACAAAATTTGAAGAATAACTCTACAAAAACCGGTGGGGCACAAATTAATCATCAATCAGCATTGTTATAAAAAAGTTGATTTTCTCTAATCAGGTATTGTAGGTGACTGATTTATGAAATATCAAAATATTTTATAAGCTTTTTCCAATCATTCATTGAAACTGTTTTGGTGGTGGGAATGCACTGAAGCAGGTTCTGTTTTTTATGTTGATAAAAAGAAAAAAATAAATCAGGTACAAACTAGTTTTATATTGTTTCACATTAGTAACAAAACAAAACTGCTTAAAGGCCTCAGCAGTTAAACTTTTAACTCTGTTGGCCATTGTTTTATTATTATTATTAATTTATTTATATCAAATCTCTGTTATACTAACGCTGTTTGTGGAATTTAGTTGAATAAAATTGCTTGTATACCGTATTATTTGTTCTTGATTAATTGCTATGTTGAAAAGAGAGATCTCCAAACTTAGTTGCCGTTTTGGGGAATAAATAAAGAAAAAAGTTGTTTGAATTTGAAATTCTGAAATAATATTTTATGTGGAGAGCTGTACAGAGACACTTTTCGGAGTAATAAAACATAAAGAAGTTTTATACATAAAGTCATTCACTTTTCAGTTTTATATTCACAGACATCCTTAAATTAAGCCTCTAAAAGTCTCATTGTGGTAAAGTACTATGAATCTCTTTCATTTTGTCTACACTCTGATTTTGACATATTTCTTTGATGAAGAGGAAAGGGAAAACGGTGTCAAAGAAACAAAGCTAAAACTGTTTAAGTAGAATTTTTAGTTTACCCAGTTGCAGGGTGTTTTATTTTTTCAGTTGTCTCGTTGTTAACAATGACCCATCTAATCTGTTTAACATGGATATAAAAGATTTGAATGTAATCTAAAAAAAAAAAAAATGATGTGGAGTCCACTTCAAATATAGATATAAACACATTTATCTACTTTAAATATACCTAAACAAGTCACATTAAACATTAAATCACCTCTTTAAAACCTTGTAGGAAGGAAAATGTACCTGTGGATGTTGATGTGCTCTCTGCATCCATGAGTGATTGAAAATCATTAGGAGCTAAAAGGAGGCCGATAGACACCAGAATAGGATGCCTCTCTGTACTGTGTTGGGACGGAATGTCCCTGACCTGAGAAAGAAAAAGAAGAGTTAGAAATTAGATTTAATTTGGAATCAGCTTTTTTCCTTGTCCCCTGGGGATCTACTCTTATACCTAGCTGAATTAAAACTATTAGGTCTTCAATTTACACTTGATAAATATCACCTTCTGTAATGGGCTATGCAATGAAACAGATGGAGAGGAAACCTGCTGCATAAGCATAGCAGCTTTGCCCTCAGGACAGTCAGGTGTTTGGTGGAGCGGTGATCCGAGCTGAAGGAGCTGAAAAGCTGATGATAGACGTTCTTTTTGTGTCCCGTTGTCCAACATCATGGCTTTCTGAAGGTGGGTCCGAGATGCTTCCATATCCCCCTCCTCCTCCATTATTACTGCCAGCTCTGAATGGACTCCGCACCGCACCTCCAGTAACATACTGCATAAAATATTTTTAGCATTAGTTATTTCTTGTAGAACTAGAACAGAGCAGTTTGCTTCTCAGAATCTCTTTATTCTGCTTATATTTTCTGAAGCAAATTCAAAACATTTAAAAGGACAACTAACCACACCTAACAAAAATGCCCCTCTCTGCAAATTGTGAAATCTATATATTTATATATCTATATATATATCTATATATATATATCTATATCTATATCTATATCTATATCTATATATATATATATATATATATATATATATATATATATATATATATGTAGATAGCAGTGGCGGCTGGTGAAAAATATTTTTGGTGGGGCTGATATAGCCTAGTGTATGTCTCCAACTAATCCGGAATAAGAATTCAAATAAACAATTGGACAATACATACAATTTAACAGTAATGATTTAATTTACTATATAATAACAGTAACAGTGATGATTTGGGTCACTGTGACGGGGTTCTTTGGCCTCCAAGAATCCAGGCTCAGTCGGGTTACCGGTGTTGGTGATTTATTGTGCTCAAAAACTCAAAACAGGGTGCAAAAGAAACTAAACATGTACAAGATCCTCTTGGCCTCAGCCTCCCTCCAGTTACCAGCAATGTAACAAAGAAACAGAAAACAAAAATTGCCGCTTTTCTTCCCACAGCCCTCATTAAATAGTTTAAGCCCCTACCCTCAGGCTCTCTTATTTCTGATTTCTTCTCATTAATCAGTTTTGTCCATATATTACCTCCACAAACAATTGATGTACAAAAACAAATAATTTTTACAACTTAATTCTTTTACACAGATTCATTGACTTATTCAATTACACCAAACTGGGTTTGAACCTAGCAAAGACGCAGCCAGACTGAAGATGACAAGTCCCCATAGCATAAACATGTACACCCCCCCCCCCCCCACACACACACACACACACACCCCCCCCACACACACACACACACGGCTAACCCCACTGAAATATTAAGTGTGCACCCTCAATACGCCAGCAGGTAACCAGGAACAGCTTGTGTGTTTTAAGTTCATGGAGCTACTTGGCTCAGCGCGAGTGTATTGGTCCTCACAAGCACAGTATAACAGGAATGTGTGTGTGGCGCGCAAAGTTAGAGAGGTTGTTTTAAGCGACGAGGTGGATTCGTCACAGTCACAATAACCATGACATGAAATGTTCATATCCTACAACAGGGATGTTCTTCTGGCAAACGGGTAGATAAATAAGGATCTCACCGAATTTGGTGGAAGCTGCATCTCGGTCGTTACATTCGCCATCTTCCCTCTAATTGTCTGCACCTGCGCTTGGGTTCAGAAGCCTGTTAAAGCGCAGTATTTTCAGCGCCCCAAGACCATAAAGTTCCGAGACGCTGATTGGCCATTAAATTCACCTAGCAATAATACATGATTGACAGATTCTCTGCAAATGTGGGGCTGTCTGATCACAGCCCCCAGAACAGAGACGGTAGGAGTCTGTCTGTGGAAATCCACAAATTAATGACAGTAGATAGGGAAATGTAGCTTATATAATTTGTTTTGCTTATAGGTACACAGTCTAGAGAGTAAAACTGACATTTATGAGTTAATTTCTAAAAATATATTTTACGTTTCTCTCTTCTTACCTATAAGAAGTGGCTGATATCAAAAAATCCTACCAGTGGCTGGAAAAGGCTGGACTGAAGGACAGCACAGAGGCACTAATCATGGCAGCACAAGAACAGGCACTCAGTACAAGATCAATAGAGGCCAGGGTCTACCACACCAGGCAGGACCCCCGATGCAGACTGTGCAAAGATGCCTCTGAAACAATACAGCACATAACAGCAGGGTGTAAAATGCAGGCAGGAAGTGCATAAATGGAACGCCACAACCAGGTAGCTGTCATAGTGTACAGGAACATCTGCCATGAGTATGGGCTGGAAGTCCCAAGGTCAAAACGGAAGACACCTCCTAAGGTAGTTGAGAATGACCGAGCTAAGATCCTATGGGACTTCAAGATCCAGACTGACAAACAGGTGATGGCTAACCAACCAGACATCGTGTTGGTCGACAAACAGCAGAAGAAGGCAGTAGTGATAGATGTGGCAATCCCAAGCGACAGCAACATCAAGAAGAAAGAACACGAGAAGCTTGAGAAATACCAAGGACTGAAGGAGGAGCTAGAAAAGATGTGGAAAGTGAGAGCAGCAGTGGTGCCAGTGGTAATTGGAGCACTGGGGGCTGTGACCCCCAAACTGGGAGAGTGGCTACAGCAGATTCCAGGTAAAACATCAGAGGTTTCTGTCCAGAAGAGCGCAGTCCTAGGAACAGCTAAGATACTGCGCAGAACCCTCAAACTCCCAGGCCTCTGGTAGAGGACCCGAGCTTGAGGATGACACATACCACCCCACGAGGGGTGAGAAAACAGTTTTTGTTTTTTTTTTTTTTTTAGATATATATATATATATATAAAACTCAAGTTTTTTTAAGGGCGGGTTAAAAATATCTAGTGACATCACAAAACAGCTTTTGAATTCAGTATAATAATGAAATTGCAGCTGTCCGATACTGATATTGACGCAATACAATATCAGCATGAATCATGTATAATTTTATTACTTTTGTCATTTAGTCTGGACTGTAAAACAATTCTTTATCAAGTGATATTACTCAAAAAAGGGGAGAATTGTCACCAGAAATAGCCATGAGAAAAACTGACTATTATCTTTGATCAATGGGTTGCATAAAACTCCGACAGAAGCAATGTATTTCTATCAGCTTGGTTGCTTCAGAGATTTTAGATGCAGGCTAGTATATTCTGATAATTGTGTTTTGACTGATATCAGACAGACTCCCAATAACAATTTAAGCTCAGGACATCCTTAAAACATCAAAGCTCTCTATTAAAAAACTGGATTATATTGTGGTCATCAAGTCTCTATAGTGCCACCTTATTATAAGGATTTTCACACTTTTCAAAGAGGTGTTGCCAAAAGCTGTGAAATGTCGAACAATTTAGGTAACTGTTAAAAGGAGAACAGTTAAAAACCTTTGCATGTCTTCCAGAACTTGGGCCAATTTTAGGAGAGGCGTCTTAATGCGTTTCCTGAGGTTGTGCTGCAGGAGTGGCAGGCAAAAATTCCACTGAGTAGCACACACAGCCTGCACAGCCCGGGGGCGGTCTTCTCTCACTGCAGCCTGCAGCAACTGATCCAGCTTGTCTATCTCCTTCAGCCGGGCCTGTGGGATAACACCTGCAAATTGAGCATTTCTCCTCTGGCAATGACAGCGCAGCACTTCCATCACTTGGCAACTAAATCAGGATTAAATTGAGCTGAATATGCTAAATGAGATGATTTTTAAAAAGGTTGGTTCTCTATGAAGAAAAAAATGTATATATGTAGAGCTAGCTCCTCACTTATTGGAAACTTTGATGAAGATGTGTGAACTCAATGAATCAATTAATATTTAGTTATAGCAGCTTAATGCCACAACCAAATAAAAAAAAATCCAACCTTGAACACAGTGAGAGCTCCCTGCTGTTAATACTTTGTACATCACTTTTGCCATGAGAAAATAGAATAACATTTGGCAAGGTTGGCACCAATAGAGACCATCGCTTCTTGGGCAATCAGTTTAGATCAAGATCAAACAGCCCCAGGTAATCTAGTCATTTGAATCGTCGGACGTTCTTTGATTAGCTGCAAAAGGCGGCGGGTAGCTGGGCACACGCGTCTCCTTCTGAGTCTCCGACACCATGTCGCCACCAAAAAAGAAAAGGACAGACATTAGAAGTTATTTTGCTACGTCGACTGTAAGTACAGTGAGTGGACCCATAAGTTAGATATCTATCACGCAACGCATTTGTTGTAAAGTCCGGTTTTTAGTAAGGTCAGCACTGAATGTGAGGTAGAATAGGTCTGTTAATTATGTAATATTTTTTCACATAGGATGCTCAGACAGCAGAGCAAGGGGCAGAGCAGAACGATGGAGAGGTGGCTGGAGCTTCAGGGCTCCAGGTGAGGTGTTAGTTCTCAGACAGGGGCGGATCTAGGATTCTAGGAGATCAGGGGCTTAGCCCTGAGGGTGCAGGTGTTGACTCCTTTTTTCCATCTTTTTTTTTTGCCACCTCGCACACAAAACCAAAATTTGTGTGTACTTTAATTTACGCAAGCAGAGAGGCGCTGAGAACCGTCTCATCCAACCCAATCAACTTTATTTATATAGCACATTTAAAACAGAAACATGTTGACCAAGTGTTGCAGATATAAAATACATAATAAAATAAAAAAATCATAAAATAATATAAGAGAACAATTAAAAAAATATAATAAATACAATGAAATGAAATGGTGAAAATCAGCTAAAACATTAAACAGCACACAGTTCCTTAACTGTGCTTATTCCTCTCTTCACCAACAACAAATCATGTGGATTTGTTGACATGTGTGCATTATTTGCCAAAATTAAAGGAGGGGAACCATATATTTTAGCTGACTTAAATAATCTGTTCCCCCTTTTATGGTCTTTATCAAATGTATTTTCTGTTATTTATTTATCTAAAAATTTACAAAAAAAGTTGAAAGTAAAACCACTGGACTGTGTTTTCCTCCAGACATTTTAAATTAAGAATTAAAATACATTTCATAAAGATCATCAAACCAACAGTGAGATTTATTTGAACTATTTTGGATTTCAAAATATAAAATAATAAATGTTTCAAACATAATATATGAAAAATAATGGAGGATTTGTTTATTTTTTTCCCATGGGGGAATGGATTATATCAGGTGGCAAAAATATTTAATTTCCCTCTCATAACTCTGGCAAAAAATTATCAAATGTATTCCAAATCCACAGAGTTTGTTGTTGATGAAGAGAGGAATAAACACAGTTAAAGACTTGCAGGTGAATGAACACACCCCCCCTCCCCCCCCAATAAATAAAGAGCAACAGTTTCCAAATTCCCAAAAATTGTTATGTGTGATATCATGTCATATACTAAAAATTCCCTTAATCCAGTAATCTCTCATATTTCACATTGCCCTTTAAAAACAAAACAGAGACCTCGTCTACTTATTTATTTTACAATTTTTTAAACAACAGCTGTCGTTTAAACTTGATGCTACAACCTTTACATGATTGTGAGTTATTTTTACCAAGAAATGGATCAGAAGCGCAGATCCGCAAGATGCGCCTATCTGGCTTCAATGCGCGCTCCCAATACAGGGAGGACAGATTTAGGTGAACATAGGAGAACAGAATTTCACAGCAGACCGGGAGAAAAAAAGGCTCTGATTCAGTCAAAGCTTCACATACCTGGGACATCAGTCTGTTTAGCAACAACTGGTGGTGGTGCTGGTGGTCCAGCTGTCTGCTTTTTAAAAAAGCTTCTGATATCCATTGATATCCGCCACTGGCCTATCCCTGTTTAAATTTGCTACGCGGAGGTGCACGACTCCTGAAGCTGGCAATGACGAGAGGGAAACACTTCTTCTGCGTGGTAATGCTACAGGCTGCTTTCCTGCACATGCTGCCACCATCTGGTGAATTCCAGTACTTCACATTTTACTCAGATCAGCTCAAAAGCGAGGATCCGGGGATTTTGGGGAAACATCAGGGGCTGAAGCCCAAGTAGCCACCCCCTAGATCCGCCTCTGTTCTCAGATATGAAATATACTGTGAAATTATCTCAGTAAATATGGCATTTGAAGTGTTAGTCTTAAATTAAGTTAAGCTAGTGTGAATACAAACCAGGTTACGCTTTGTTTGCTCTATAGGAGGCAGTCAGTGTGAGTGCCAGTGACCAGGGAAGTCAAGGCAGCAGTGCCCTGGACATGGGGAGTGCGCCATACCAGCCTGATGTAAAATTCATTGCAGCACAGCAGCTGCCCAATAAAAGGTTGCGGTTTCAGGCCAAATGGTTTAGCCTCTTCCCATGGCTGCATTATAGCCCCACCATGCAAAAAGTTCTTTGTTTTGAGTGTGTCAAAGCTTTTACCATCAAAAAGACCTCCTTAGAAAAGAAACATGATCCTGCATTTTGCCTAAATGGTTTTGGGAATTGGAAAAATGCTTCTGAGAGCTTTACTCAACATCAAAATTCGAGGGCACACCATCATGCCGTCACTGTGAATGCGATTGAGCAAACTCCAGTCCATACACAGCTGGCCAGTGCTTTAGCCAAAACACAGCAGGATGCCAGGCACTGTCTTGTGGAAATTATGGAGTGTGTGAGGTATCTGGCTAGGCAGGGAATTGCAATGAGAGGGCATGCTTCAAATGAGGGTAACTTGTTCCACCTTGTGAAGTTAAAGGCAAAGGATGATGACCCAGCTAACTTCCTGGCTGACTCGCTGCCATGATTATGTAAGTCCCCAGTGCCAAAATGAATACTTGACTTTGTTTGGCCACACAATTGTGAGAGGAATTGCTGCAATGATTAGGTCCCTCCCTGTTGTCCAATTTTCTATCATTATGGATGGAACCCAGGACATCCAGGGCAAAGAGCAGGTCTCTATATGCCTGAGGTATGTTGATCAAGACCTGGTGCCAGTGGAAGCATTTATCGGCTTGTATGATACACCATCTACAACTGGTGAACAGATGGCAAAACTAGCTCTGGACATGCTTCTCAGACTGAACCTACCTATCTCAGGTGTGCGAGGACAGACGTATGACGGGGCAGCAAATATGGCAGGCCTTTTTTCTGGCGCCCAGGCAGTGCTCAAAAAGGAGCAGCCCCTGGCATTGTATGTACATTGTGGCGCACATTGTGTCAACTTAATTACCCAATGTGCATGCAATTCTTCACCCTTACTGCGTGACGCACTTCAGTGGGTCCATGAACTTGGAACACTGAGCAACCAATCTGGCAAATTTAAAGGCATTCTGGCACAGCATACTGTTCCAGAGGGGCCCACCAGGACCGTTAAACCACTCTGTCCCACAAGATGGACTGTCCGTGGGCAAGCTGTGCAGGTAGTCCTCAATGAATATGAGGCTATCCTAAACAGTCTGGAGGAAATGGCCTCACTTGGTTACGACACAAGCACTAGGGCAAATGGTCTATTGGAGCGATTCCAAAAAGGGAAGACCATTTTAGGCCTCAATCTAGCCACAGAGGTGCTCGGAGAGCTTGAGTGTTTGAACAAATCCCTGCAGAGTCATTCCCAAACCATTACCGGTATGCAGACTGCAGTTCAATATGTAAGCTCAGCTATTCAGGAGAAAAGGACTGATGCAAAGTTTGCAGAATTGTTTGAGAAGTCAGTGCAGATGGTGGATACTTTGGGGATTGAAGCCATTGAAATTCCTCACCAAAGGAAACCCCCCAGGAGATATACTGGTCAGGCTAGTCATCATCAGTCAAAGACAGCAGAGGAATTCTACAGGATTGAGTTGTTCAAGGTCTTGGACTGTTTGGATATGCAGTTCAAAGACAGATTCAACCAACCTGATCTGGAGAAATTAAAACAGGTTGAGGATGTAAGGTTAATGACGCTATTGGGGAGTACCCAGAGATTAACAGGGAGAATCTGGGGATTCAACTTTCCATGTTCCTTAAGAAACATCCACTAAAATCAAGTGCAGAAGCAGCAGAGATACTGAGAGAGATGCCCAGGGAAGTTCGTGGCCTATTCAATGAGGTGGAGATGCTTGTTAGGCTGTTATTGGTGATCCCTGTGGCCTCAGCGGAAGCTGAAAGAAGCTTCAGTGCTTTGAAAAGGCTGAAAAACTGGCTGAGGTCGACAATGACCCAGCAGCGCCTTAACAACATCAGTGTATGCCATGTGCATCAAACAGCACTTGACCTCATTGATATCAAGCAAATTGGGCAGCAGTTTGTGTCTGTAAATGACAGACGGAGGCATGTGTTTGGTGCATTTAAATAACACATTTTGCCAGTTGATAAAGACAGACACACATGATCATGCAACAAACATTGCAATAATACAGATAATTTTATTCATGTTTATTTTTTTTGTTAGTGCAATATATTATTTTATTTTATTATTGATTTCTTCTTATCTGCAATTGTGTTTGCTGTATCCAGAGGATATTTCTTTTGATCTTACTTGTACCGTTTGCTGAAGTTTGTAAAGGAAAAAGTAAAGTGTTCTTGAACTGATCTGCTGAGTATGACTGTATCTGGTTGTATACACAAGATGTATGATATGGTTATGGTTGGGGGGAGGGGGTTATTAAGCCAATGTGGTTCCCCCCCCTTCTCAAAAATGTTCGGTGCTCTTGGGCATTTCACTGTGCTGCCGGGGTGGGGGGTGGTGGTAGTCAAGGTCCCCACCAAAACTTAGACCGAACCTACGCCCTTGGGAGAAACGGACCTGCAGCTTCTCATATCCCCTAAAAAAAATGGAGACTAGGTGGAAGTTCAAATGAATGAACTGACTACTTTACCCTCATCCGTCTCTGACACCAGCTAATCAGCTTTGAACCACACCTCCACAGAAGCCCAATCAGCATCCAGAGTTCATCTTAAAAGGTCTCCAATTCCCAACTCTGTCAGCTACCAAAAGCGCAGGCAGAGGTTGGGCCATGTTTGACTTCAATGCAGATGACCCCGATTCAACCCACCACCAGCCCCTCCTCCACCATCACTGCTAAAGCTTCATCAGAGTGTCATTCCTCCCGGACTCTCACTACGATCCCCGCCTAATCTCAACCAGTCTGGCAGAAGACCGCCATGTTGAGCCTGGTTCTGCCAGATTTTTGTCTCTCCACTGTCTCTTCATGCTTGCTCATCATGGACCGGTTTTCTGCTGGACTTTCTTGTTTCAGGTCCCTGAGTGAAGTACTAGTATCAGCTCATGCAATCCACTGGATCTCCCCATAAAGCTCAACATACCATCTTGCTAAACCAGCAGTCTACAGACTGACCAACTTCATCTATCTACAATCCACCACAGGTTTCAGGCCTGGGGGAAACATCCCTGTTCTTTACCCCTGTTCATGCATATCAAACAAAAAAACGCTATGTTTCCTGCCGATGTCTGAGTGCCAAAGACTTTCCATGTCAGTCTTTTAGATTGAACTAACAAACAACATGTGTTACTTTTTCCCACCTGATTGTCCTTTTATACCAGAAGGTTAAAAAGTGCTGAAGAGGTTATCATATTTAATGAGGAATGAAATAATAAAATAATAGTGAAAGAAATATTAAAGAAAATCCTCAAGTTTCTGTCTGTGAGAGCCACACAGGGCTCCTTTTTGGGATCCAGGCGATAGAGAAGATTGACATGGTAATATTATCTAATGGTTGTTATAGAGACTGGGTGGCTAAAAGTAATTTTGTTCCTTTTATCTACCAAAGCACCATTTTTTTGTGTGGGGTGGCAAGAAAAGCATGCTTCCTCATTCTGCTGGGTTTTATTCTGTAATTCAGCAGGACCTCTATTGAAGGGTAGATACTGTTAATCGTATTTTTTAACTCACAATAGGAAACCCCTTCCGGATGCCAGGATGATATAATGTAGTTACTCGGCTGTAAATAAAGAGGGTTTTTTTTTTAAGTCAGACCAAAACTTTCCCATTTATCTAAATTACCAAAAGGGTTCAACAACGACACATCCAAGACTGCACAACAGAGCCAACAACAACATTAAAAGAACTGCAGGCCTTTACGAGCCTCAGTTAAGGTTAGTGTTGAGGCATCACAATGAGAAAGAGGCTGGTCAAAAATGGTCTGGATGACGGAGTTCCACATCTGTTTTGAACTTTACTGTTTATCATCTTTTTTTACAGGACTTTTGGGAAAATTTTCTGTCGACTGATAAGACAAATGCTAAAATTTTCGAAGGTTGTGTGTCCAATTATATCTGGTAAAAGTAGAAAAAACACATCATAACTTTAAAGCATGGTGATAGTAGTTTGATGGTCTGGGGTTGTTTTGTGGCTTTAGGATCTGAAAGAAATGGTGTGCCAAATTCAACCACTCTACCAAAGTTTTCTGAATGATAATGTCCAGCTATCGCTCCAGCTAGAAAGTACCTGGATTCTGCAACAGGACAAGGATCCAAAACACTAGCAGCTGCTGAGGGTGCCCTAACTAGTTTTTAGGTTTAAGGGCTAATTGCTCATGTAGGTGTGGAATATTTTCTACCTTAATAATAAAAATGTGTATTTAAATTAAAGCTTTTTGTGTTTGTGTTTTTGACTAATATCTAAATTTTTTATAATAAAGATGTGAAAAACAAGAAATTAGGGCCAAATATTTCTTTCAAGTAACTACTGTATTTTTAAAGCTTTTTACACATCCATACCAGAATTCCTATTAGTGAGGAGGAAGCTGTATTAAGCAAATTCTAAGACATGAACAGCTTTTAATAACTGTGAGAGTTGAGTTCTTACAAATAAAAAATCCCAACAATAGGTCAAGAAGACTGTTATTTGTATACAAGAGTAGATGATTTAGCACCTCCACACTGGCTCTCGAGTAGTTATTCATCTTTGGATCCCTTTTCAGAATGTTAATTTCACAGTCGAGACATTCCATTAGGATGCTTTGCTCAGTATTCTAAGAAGAAAGGGATGTCTATTAGAAGCGGTTGGCATCCAGCATATCCACTCTAGCACAAATATAAGGTAATTTCTGAAATTAGGGCAAACATCTCTCTGTCATCAAAAGAACATGTCCATGCAGTTACAGTTAGTGTTGCGCCGATGCCAATTTTTGGCCCGGATGCTGATATACGATACCTAGTTGTGCAGTATTGTCCGATACCATACTAAAACCATCTGTTTGAAATTGATGTGTGTGTGTGTGTGTATATATGAAGAACTGCATACTACTTGGATGTAAAATAATTGCCATCATGGCTTTGTCAATCTGCTGCCGACCTTTGTGAAGCAGGAAAAATACTAATACAAAGGGAATCCAGTAGAACTTTTTATTGCCTACCTGGAACGGGGGACAAAAGTTGAATAAACTTTTGGCTCTCAAAATGGTATCGGTATTTGTTTGTACTCGCCACTATTTTAGTGCTGGATCTGGGCCCCGCCCGACACTGGTATCGGTGCAACACTAGTTACAGTTGACATTTCTCATGCTGAATGTGTATATTGGACACTTACAAGCTCTCTTGCCAAATTCAGTTGTTTCAAACAGTCAGCAGCTACATTCCGATGCTTCATTTGTAAAGAGAGGAAAGCCAACTCTAGCAGGAAGTCAACCCTGTAAATCCCAGACACAAAAGAGCATAATTTATATTATTCAAAATAGTTAAATGAAATCATCGGAGTCATTTTTGGTCCAGTAAGCGGGTTTTAAGTATCTGATGTTTAGGAACACTCTGGATCACAAACCTGTCACAAAGTTGGATGCGTGTTGAGCTCTCTGGATGGCTAGAATTCACAGGAGCACCAGTCAGTTCAGCAGAATCCACAAGAAGAGAGAAAATCTCCTTTAGCTTCACAGCTTCATCCTCTGTTGGGGTTTTCTCATTTACCTCCATCCACCTGTTTCATACATGAGGAGAGCTGGTCTCTGTACATATGTGCATTAATGTACCATGCAAGTTTCTGTATTTTTATTTATCCTGTAATATACCCACACCATACAGTGTATAAACCTCAGGCAAAAATTACTATATGGTGCACATGCTGAGTAATGCTCTTGACGTTTAGAGATGAAATCAAGCACCATAAGGACATTTGACATGCTGAGGACATGCCTCCAGAGAAGGGTGGGGGTTGGCTATGCACTACACTGGAGCACAACATACGCCAGGCTACTAACCCTTCAATTTGAGCAATTACCATGCTATATTTTAAGCTTTGAGCCAAATTAATCTCATCTTATTTTAGAGAAGAGTTCACCAGCCCAGCTTCCAGGACTAAGGGGCCAAGCTAGATGACTTCTCTATTTTTGTATTTGGGTGAGTTTTCCACTGATTTTAAAAAAGCGGTATTTGCCTACACTGTCAATGTTATTCCTAATCCAAAATACTTTAGTTAAAACATTAGTTTTAAAGTCTGAATAATCATAGTTGAAGATCATTTCTCCATCCTTTCTGTCTCTTTTTTCATCGTTAGTTCACTAATGTTTCTGATCAAATATCTTCCTTGGCTTCCTTTTATTGTTGGCTACTTCCTTTTCTGCCTTGCATTTTTTCATTTGTTCCTTCCTTTTTTGGGTTCCTTATGTAATCTCTGACCATGGTAGAAATGTGTGTATAAATAAACACTTACAGTACACTTTTTTGTTTCAGAATGTTTGTGTGTAAAAATATCCAGACATGCAGTCAACAACTTTAAACTGATTTTAATGTACTCAGTTGTTTCACATAAATCTGAATGGAAACAGGAGGAGCAAACAGACACTGAGAATACATTGTTGCATCAGCATTTCGTATGTCATGCTGAACTTACTGGACTTCAGCTGTCAATTTCTTTTAGCAGAAGCTTTGATGCTTCTAAAAGCACAAATTAAATCATTGGAGTTTCAGCTGGAATTTTGACGCTGTGAGTTTTTTTTTTTTAGAAAATAACAGAAATGTATTTTCAAGAATCAATATGGTTTCTACACCAACCACAACCACAAATACCCACGTGGCTTCAAATTGTATAAACTACGAAATGTAACTGTATTGTTTTCCCAGATATATTTAAGTGCAGGATGTGTATAACAGGTTTTGCCAAGATGCTGGCTGAAGTTAATAAAGTTGTAATTACACATACTGAAACACCAAAATTAGGCTGAATGCTATTACTGCAAACGTAAAATTAAAGCTTTATTACATTTACAAATGCACTTGGTGGTCTGTCGACAATAAAACTGTTTCATAAGACACATACGATCCCGTTGGGGGGAAGCTTGGAAGCTTTGCCAAATGTGTAAAGGGGTTGGCAGCATCATGTTATAGTGACGTTTTACTTTAGGAGAGACTATAGCACTTCACCAACTAAATGGTTATCTAACGGCTCCAACTAGATAATATAGTGAGAAATTGTGGATAGATAACCAAAGCATTTCTTATATATTTAAAAATAATAATAATAATAATAAATGAAATACTAAAGAATTGTATGGGAACTTCTAAAACTAAAAAAGTTAGAATCCCTCAAAATATTTTAAATATATGTTCTTTGTGGCAATAACACTGCCCCTAAACCAAGGTTTAATCTGACATGCTTTTTTATGCAGAGCATTGAAACATTTGATTTCAACTATTTTCAATTCTGACAGTTTGCATCTCATTACAGTCACAACAGTTTGCTCAAAAGCTTTTAGTTAACAATGGTTTAGGGTTTAAATCCGCAACAAATAAAATGCAAACGACAACATGACTTGTGGTGAAAATGATATCCGGTAATTAGCTAATCCCACAGGATTTTCCAACCGGTTGGAAGTTACAAAGCATATAAAATGCAGCTGCAGAACCATCAACTAATCTTGGCTCTATAGCTTGGTGGGAACATACTCAGAACAACAAACATGTATTTGAAAATAAATCACCTGTCTGCACAATCCTCGTTTAGGTGCTGAAAGAAAATTATTGTAGGAAATGTACTTTTTCTTCTGTACTTCAGCAGCACAACAGTTTTGTTTTCTCTCACTAAAGGAAATTAGCTTTTATAATGGTAGCATTAAAATCCTTTCCAGCAAAGCAGAAGAAAACATTCTGTGAAAATGAAAAAAAACAAACAAACAATTCTAACCTTTTAATCTCTTTGATCTTGTAAATGACTTTGAGGGTGGTACACTCTTCACTGGCTTCACGAAGCAAATCATCCTCTGCCAGCTTATGTCGGACCTAACAAGAAGACATTTTATCAGCAAAATATCTTCTAACGGTAGAGATGGTGGTTAAATGTAAGGTTCTTCATTTAGGTAGAAGTTGTATTGAGATCTGGGAATGTCATGAAATACATAAACTAAACCATAACTCCCAAATAATGCAGAATAGTTTGACCTACTAACTAATTTGGTCTGGTTTAGTACCATTGACAAAACATAGAATTAGAATGTTTAACTGTCAGAGCAGTTAAACAGCAGAAAATTGGTCACACAATTAATTATTTTTGTTGTGATTATTTAGCACAGTGAATGTGAAAGATGAAACGAAATGCATCAAAAGCATTAAGGAACAGTTTCAATTGGAAGTACAGAAGCTTTAGATGCAATGCAGCCATATAGAGCTTTGATCTTGGGGTTAAGCTTAAGATTCCCACAAGGAATAAGAACATCTTGGGCCATTTTGTTATTTGGTTTAGCTTTAGTCTTTGAAAATTAAACCTTAAAGTGGAAAACCATATGTATAATTTTACCTATTCATGAAAAAAAAAATCTAATTTTGTACAAATGTTTCTCAAATGTACATATAAAAATAGTATAATACAAGAAATAGTATCATAGTAATAGTAAATAATATCATTCCCACTTTCCAAGTACGAATGATGAGCTCTGAAAGAGTTACCACAGGCGCCGTAAGTATATCACAGAGAAGCGATTCGAAGGTCCTCATTTGAAGGAGATTGATTTTGACATGGTGGGGATCTGCAGGCCTTGGAAGATGCTGGTCTTTTAGCAGAATCAAGTTCCTTTGGGTTCCAATCTTGGGCTATTGCCAATTGTTGTATGAATAAAGATATATGCAGGCACGTGTGAATGTGTATATGTATCTTTATATGCACTTAACAAATTTATTAGCTGACTTAATAGACTTTTGAAGAAGTATGAACTCACTAGTTAAAAAATAATTGGAAAGATTGTTGTTAAGCACTATTCGAATGGAGGACCAACTCTGACGTAATTAAAACAAAATATAACCCGAAATGTAGGCAGTAATTTAATTATAGAATGAGAAATAAATGTATAAATATATTTTATTTAGCTTATTTATTTATTAAATCATCTTTATAATTGCCTTACTTTTGCCTCATTTAATATCATTATAATTTTCAGTTGTTGTGCTTGTTGTGTATGCTTTTATTTTTTCATATGCTTTTATTTTTTCCATTTCTTCCACCCTATTTATTTCTGCCTGTGCTTTTTCGATTTATATATGCATTTCTGCCTCATTATACAAGGGAGATTAAACATGGCTTTTTGTAAGCAGATGCTGGAAGAAAAAAAAAAAACGTGTTACGGAGCCGATTTTTCAATACAAGCACAATTTCTATTGAGTGAGCCCAGGATGGACCACTCAACAGGAGGTTTTGTAAATAATTGTCTTTTTTGCAGTAGAGAACTTTTAGAGATGTGTTATAATACAGTAAAAAAAAATAGACAGAAAAAAATAAATAAAAGCCTACACAGAAATACATTTAGTTAATGAGCATTTAAAGAATAAACATGACAATTTTAATGATATTAAATACACAATGAATTGAAAGAACAAGCTAATTGAAATTCTATACTATACTTCTTAATACTTCTTAGCTCTATATATTTGATGTATTTTGTCTTCCAATTAATTTTTTTCCTATTCTTTTTTTCCTAGTTTTCATTTTCATATTTATTGATCATTTATTAAATAAAGTTAAAAAAGTATTTGTTGTCAGTTATGTCAGAGTTTGTCCTCTGTATATACTGTAGGAAGTAGAAGGGATGTGATTAAATATGTTTCACTTCTTCATACCCCTTTTTTAGGGAACCTAGTCGGTTAAAAAACCAGTTATTAATATGGGTAATCTGAAAACGCATTTCCCCCCTACTTTCCCACTTTAAGTTTCCTCCAGCACATTAGTATCTATTACCCACCCTATTATGCATGGGTATCACAGCGGTATTAAAATACAGCAAGCGGTTTAAATGATATCTGTTGATCTGTGGTTCGACTCTGTTGCTCATCAGGGAGAGGGATGTGAGGGTAAGATAAAGTTGAAATATTGCATGGAGTTTGATAAAGGATTTGAGGTGCTCATAGGCCATTTTTATTTATTTGACAAGTCCTCGTGTGTAGTTAGAGTTCACCAATGTAAGCACTGATAACACTGCCATAGTAGATGCTTATGATGGCATTTGACTACTATTAATGTTTTAAATAAAGTGAAATTAAACATCTGAGAGGACTTGATCTGACTTCAATTCTTCACCTTACTATCTGTTTTCCCAATGTCCTCCAAATTGTGCATATGCATGGGTCAGAGTTGGAGTTAGAGGCATGCCCGTTTCCATGTCAACTTAGTTTTTGATCATCAAAGGCTGGATTAGATGATTTTATAAGAAGGATTTTTACACATTTTGGGCAGTGTTTTAAATAATATGGTGGCACTTTTTATCAGTTTGTAAAGTAGGCGCAGTTGCAGTGAAATGCTTACCTGTAATGCATAAAGCCTTGGATAGAGATGTCCACTGTGTGACTTAATAAAGGTTTCTGTGACTTTAGCAAAACTTGCAGCATCCTCCACTTGTCCAGAATCCAAAAGACATTTCACCAACTCTCTGCAGGGAAAAAGAGATCAAACCTTATCATAATATGAGTGTTCTAAAATCCTAATACGTATGTTTTTGACAAATTGTTTTGCCAAACTTTGGGAAAAAAATGCTGCATAACAGCACAGTAACTTGTAACAATCTGCTGATGCATCTTGATCAGGCTAGGGTGTTGTATAAGAAGCTTTTGATATCCTTGCATTGGTGTTGCTCGTGGATGGAACATTTCCTTCCATGGACAAAGATGAAACAAAAAAAAAAAGACGACAACCATATAAAGTAACTGAGGATGCTAGAAGGCTGAGCTGCTAAAACAGCTTGTGAGTGTAATCAGATTCAAAAGCAAGTAAGCTGATTAAGGAAAAGTCACTTGCATTGAGAGCTCTGCTCTCCAGCTGTGGTCCTGGTCCCCCACCTCCTCCAAACTTTCCACCACCTGCTTTAAGGAGGGGACTAATTCAGAGCACCGTCCAGGCTGCAGGAGAGGACGCACTGTCCGAAAGTACAGCACTGAAGCATTAAACACCAAAGAGTGGGTACTGTAAGACACAAAAAACATGCAGAGAGATAAACACAACACTGAATTATTCATATGATACACTTGCCACCAATTTCATCTCTTAGTACAACTCAATTCAGACTGAGTGTCAACCATATCTGCAGAAGCCTTGCCCTGTGAATTTTTAAATACGAGAGCTTTAAAGATCACCCAATGAGCTACAGAATAGTGGGCCCTAGAAACTCTGTGTGAAATTGGAGACATTTTTGAATTCAAGGAGCTGTGGGGAAAAAAAATCTCTGAACAGGGTGTTTGAGTGCTTCTAATTTATTCATTGGAGAGTGTGCTGTGCATTTGTATGAGCTGGATGCATTAGATATGTATTCCCTTTGGTGTTAATTGGTAATGCTCATTCCTCCCGTTTATTGACAGGCTATGAGTTAATTAGCAAAGAGCTCCAGCAGCGTTTGCTCACAAAGGCTGACCCAAGTCTTTCATAGTCACTAGTAAGGGAACATTTCAATCCTAACTCCTGCTGGTGCAGTTATTTTAACAACCGTCTCTGGTCACAGTTCCTCCTGTTAGTGTTTAAGAGAGCAAAAACGATTAGCGCTAAAAAATAGCTTAGCCTTGTGTTTCAACCATTTGAAAATTCACACTTTGGAGAAGCTATTTATCAGTAGCACAATTAATATTTATTCCAAACAAGAACACAAAAAATGTCCAGCTCTTTCTTAACAACTTACTAGTCATAGAGACTAAAATGTTGAATATTTCCGAGGGGTAGCATACCTTGGTTCTTTCTTTGACATTTCAATTGCTTTAAGAAAGTACGTCACAGCCTCGTTAATATCCTCCTGAAACATAAAACAATTACAAGTTGAGAAATTGCAAAATTTAATATAATCAAGGTGTCCAACTCCAGTCTTTACCAACCAGTGTCCAGCATGTTTCATTTTGCCCGTCTTTGAACATAACCAATTCAAAAGGCTGAATAATCTCCTCTGTACATCAACAGGTTTTTGGGAGCATATATGCCATTGAATGAATGACAAAATATATTAAATTGCAAGACATCTATCCTTAAGAATATATCAAAACTACTTTTTACAACTTATAATAGCAAATATAGCAAAGCTGCTCTCTGCCACTGAACACAGGAGCAGCAGAAGCATCGGATGCATCTGGACACACCTGACTGGAAATGCTTCAGGAGCGTCAAGGATGCTCCTGAAACAGGTCTGACCTTAATGTGTACAAGCATAAAAAATGAAGCAGCAGAAGCTTTTTTGCTGCCAATGCTTTTTTCGCGGCCAGTGTGAACGTGATAAAAAAAAAACAATGACTAAAACGCATCCAGTTTTGCATGTCTTTACTGCTGATAATGACTTACCTTGAAAGGCATTGCAGTTACATTGCATTGTAACTGCAAACAAAAGGTGGTTAGGCAAGGTAGTGACTCAGGGGGCTGAACACTTTTTATTATTTGTATAAAAAATTAATACAACTCTTCTATAATTTTCGATTATAAAGTTTTATATCACTTGGTGTTGGTCGGTCTTTCGTATAAGATATAGTTATGCTTGTGGTAGAAATATGACCAAAAAGGTCAAGGGGTATAAAGACTTTTGCAATCTGCTGCATGTCAGATAGATATTCAGAGATATAATGATGCTCTGTGCAAATGTTGTTAGGAAAAAAAGCATAAGCTACCATTTTCTACACTTTCAGATTAATGAGTTTGTAAGAATACAGTTGGGATTAAGTATTCCCATTAGTAATGCCTATTAGCAACTACCTATTCATAAATGGCTTTAATTAAATTTTTTTTTTGGGGGGGGGGTTGTTTGTTTTGAACAAGACATCTTGATTTTGATTGCCTGCAGATAAATTTGTGCTACTGGGAGTTTAACATTTGGTACATCTCTACAGAAACTGTGCTACTCTGGTATAAAAAACCATAAGTTGCAGAGACACACTCACACATGATTCTGTAGAAGTGTAATTGACTGTGCTTACCACTGTTGTAGCAGGAGACACTTGCAGAGACTTTAGTACGCCCTGGTCTAGGAGAGCTTGACACAAAAAATGGTCCTCCTGCAAATTCCCTTCTAAATTCATCTTAAGGCTTTCTGAGCTCATCTCCAAATTTCCCAGCTGAAAAACACAAAGAGAACAAAGGGGGGAATACCAAAAAGTATGAAAACCATGTCCATTTAGAAAACTGTTAACAAAAACCATTGTTTATGCTCTCAAGTGTAGAGCCATCCACTAGGTCATGGGTCTTCAACGTTTTCCAGGCCAAGGACCCCCAAACTGATGGTGAGAAGGAGCAAGGACCCCCTAATTATATATGTTGTATGAAATTGTGTTATATCAAACTAGTCCTATAGTCACTCTGTTACAGATGGAGTAATGCAACAAATGTAATTTCGCCCTGGGATTCTTAAAGTATTTCTGATTCTGATTCCTGCTGGTTGGGACAGGCGTTGTGAATGAAACGGTGCCCAGCTTGAAAGAGCTCCTGTGTGTCGCTGAATGTTTGTATTGATGACTGAAAGACATCTTCTGCCTCCATTTATCTACAGTGTGTTGACTTCATGTTAATGTGTATTTAAATAAATTTAAATTAGTGAAAAAATTGCAGGGGGAATATAAAAAAAGGCTAATCAACCAAAACTTTCATGACCCCCATGCAGTACCTCCGTGGACCCCCTAGGGGTGACGCACCCCCTGTTGAAGACCTCCGCACTAGGTGCTAGAGGTTATCAAATTCTACTGTAATAGTTAATTTCACAATGCCAATATATGTGTTTATTGTTTTGTTTTTTGGGTTTTTTTTTGCAAAAAGAAATATAAAGGACAAAGTCGGGGGCCAAATGGTTACCAAAAGGGATTAAGGCCTAATAAAATACCACAAATATAAAGTGTAGCTTTAGCATTTAAAAATATTCAAAGCAATGTACATCAATTTAATGTCAATATACTTATGATTAAATACATTACTCTTATGAATTGGAAATAAAATCGAATATCTAACTCCATTTTATAAAGAAGGGGCACAAATTAACACGATAATTTAGCGTCCGGACTGAGGTTGGCCGTTATCGAACGAAACAATAACTGGTGAATTAATGGAGATAAACGATAAAACTTTGAAGTAAACGCAAGTTTCATTTAAAAAAGCAACTAAAAAATGTGTCTGAAAAAACAATAAAACATGTGCGTTTTCTTTCTTTCTTTTTTTTTTTTTTTTTTAGTTAACTTACCAGTTTAATTCCGCTCTTAACGTTTGCAGTTAGCCATCGCCTTTCCTTTTGTCGTAGTGAAAGCGTTGCTAAGCAACCACAGAACCTGCTTAAACTACGGGATGTGAAAAGGACAAAACTAGCATTATATTTGAACCTTTGACATTGCATCCTGGATATTCAAAATATACTGTATATAGCCAAATATACTTGTTGATTAAATACAAAAGGAGTGCAAATATTTACCGGACTCCTAAAACTTTTACGGAGCCCGTAAAGGGACATAAAAATAAAAAAGGGAAAACGCTCGTGCGCACCAGATACTGTCTCGAGCTCGTTTCTTGAGATCGGAATATTTCGGACTAACTGCGGTTAACTGAAATGTAAATATGTGACATAGTTGAGCTATATTTCCACTTTGGGATGAGAAGACATTGCATTGTTGTTTGCCTGATATCACCAATGTGGTATTTCAAAAGACACCTGATGCGCAATCTTGGGTATGGAGTGCCAAATTGGAAAAAAACTGCACGAATCAATTGTGACACATCAAAGAAAAAAGGCAAAGCGGCATTTGGAAATTTAGTAAGGATGGCTGAGAGTGCATGACACCAGCCAAAAGTCAGCCCTGACTGGACTTTTTTGGGTCAGACATGTACTTTTCAGAAATAATAAAACTGATAAATTTATTAACTACAATTAATTATAATTTACACCCCTCTGTTCTGAAAAAATTTCTAATGGGCACCTGTGAATATGGCAACATGATTTTAATGTTTTTTTTTTATTTAGTTACTGTTTAACTTGGTTAATTTGTGGACTGTATTTCAGAATGTCCATTTATTTTACCCAAGTTTCAATATTTGTTTTACCAAAACTTTGTTTCCAGTTACTGAGTTTACTTCAGAGTGATAATAGAGAACCCCTAGATGTTTCTCACCATAGGTCATCTAGGTCTGATGAGGAGTTTCAAAATGAAAGCCTCTTAAAATTTTTAAAAGTGGTCACTTATATCTAAGTTTCCATGAAGGTAGCTGAGAAAATCCCAGTCAGTTCCAGTCCCTGATTTCAGGTCAGGTTGACAATTGAACACCCCTAATAAATGCTTACAAAATATTAAGTTCTGTTAATATATAAAACTATTTAAATTAAATCACTTGTATTAAAGTTGTTACATAGTATGATATGAATAGCCCACCAGGTAGAGAGAAAGAGAAAATTAGTCATTTCTTGTCCTGGAGAGGGCAGTATAGACACAGGTCCAGTTACTGGAGGAAAAAAAATAAAGTATTTCTGATCCTTTACAATTCTTGAACACAACTTATTCTTCTGAAGTGACTGGCAAAGTTTATTTTTTTATTTATTTATTTTTATTTATTTATTTTCATTAAATTCATCTAAAGCCTTTGGATACTATTTTTGATTTGAAAGTGTTAAATGGCCAAAACACCTGTTGACCCAATGGACACCAATTATGATTAGTCCAGCAATTCTGTCATGGCATTTAGCAATGAGGAAGTAGAGCCACATTCCTGTGAAAGCACTAACACTGAAGATAACCAGGAACCGAAACAGGACCTAGACATTAATATAGCTCGACAAAATAAAACTATTAGCAAACCCAGAACGTTAACCACCAACTTTCAGCTACTCTTTTTGACAGTGGACTGTAAACAGCCACCGGCAACCACCAAACTGATGGTGGCTATGTTACTTTCTGGTCATAGCTTTACTTCACACAGATGCTCATTAACTCTTCCTCACACTACCCAATAAATCAAACACATGCTTTTTCCTTCTTTGTGTACGTGTGGTTTCATTTCCTTTACACCATGACCGTTGTAATGCAGAAACAGTCACTAGTTTGTGAGCTCTGAGCTGCCGTAGCGCAAAAGATGTATGTATCTATGTAATTAGAAATAGTAATTTTAAGGCAGTGCAAACATAAAGATTGGAACTTTCAGTTCATAGGTGATAATAAATAACATGCATATATATTATATATATATTTTTATGTCAGTTAATCTCTGTAATTCTTACAAAGTGTACCTTTAAAACAATTTGATCTGTTAAAGGAAGAAGAGCCGGACGTCTTCATCGCTGCTGCTGTTTTGCATGGGGCCAAATTATGTCTGCCGTTTAGACCGTTCTGACTAACTTAAGCATTTGGTATCAGCATTAAAGGCTACTTTAATGGATTTTCAAAGAAAATCATAATCAGTGAAGATGTTCGTCACCAGCAGTGATCCAAAACTGGTTAAAGGTTACTTCATGGAGGCAGCTGAGAGAACAGGTGGCTGCCTCAGGATTGCCAGAGGTTAGCAGCGAGACAAGAATGTGAGTGAATCATCAGTCTTATCCCACCAGTCCATTCACCATCAGCTTGCACCATGTTTATAAAATGGAATTATTATTTTTTTTGTTTTTATTTTGTTGGATGGGTGGATGGATGGATGTTTTGTGCATGAGTAGTGAAGTAAAAATAATCCTGCCACATTATACTGTTTGGTTCACTTTTATTCCTTATAAACCTAAATAAACTGAAATGATAATAATGGTTTTTCTTATCTCACATTTCGAATATTTGCAAAAAATTATGAAATCATCTATACATAAGAAATAAAACATTTCACCCTTGTGGTAAGGAAAAACGAAAAAGGTACATGGTTAGGCAAGACACCTCTTATTGTAGTTTTAGTGCTTCTTTCTTTTAAAGTCTATCATTGGAAATCAGGCCACACAATGTGCAAATATAATTTACTTGGTCAAACCACATTCTGCTGCTGATGTGACAGCGGACAAGAAAAACTTGCCATTCCTGTGGCTGTAATGAACTTTGGAATCCCAGTTTAAGTTCTAATTGACAGAGTCTGGTGTTACCTGACAGTATTTCAAAGCAGCCTAGAAAGATCCTTGGTTGCTCCCTAGCAAATCTATTTAGCCGTTCATTGGGCTCTGTTTGAAAAGACCACACAAAAGGAATGTCCTGTCACTTGAATAGATTAAAGTGTGGAATGTTGTTTCTGTTTTATTTAAGCAGTCTTATAACTTTAAAGTTTGCTTCATTTTCTCTGTTATAATTTAATTTCTATTATGAAATTTTGCAAGAAATTATAACTCTTCTTGTATTCACCAGCTGTTGACTTAAAAAGGGAAAATAGATCTAAAGTTAAAGCGCATTTCCTAACAGGATGTGACATTTCAGCCATAACAAACATAGTGTACTTGCTCATATCTGTTTTATTAAAAAACCAGCCTCTCCATATGACTTTTGCATGACTTATTAACATATTTTTTCAAACCTTTCCTGTCTTCAAATTGTTAGATAAAACATAATCATGTTTACTAGAATAGCATAGTCATCCCTTGTGCAGGTGAAGAATATGCATAATTGCGGAAAGTTAAATAGTTTGTGGAAACAAACAGGAAAAAAAAATTAAACTTAGGTGAGGGATTCAGGATAGTCATTCATAAAAGCAAGTGTTAGCAGAAGAAAAGGAGTTCGGGAACTCATTATGATAGTGATAAAAAAAACAACTAATTTAGTCTCCCTTTTTGTAGAGAGGATGAAAGTCCAGGGGTAAAGTGAGTATATCTACAGTGTCTGATGGGAACCTGCTTCTCTTAAGATCCTCCTGATTGACTTTGATGGGTTGAAACTGCCTTAATATCTACCAGTAAAACTCTGATGTTCAAGACAAACACACATACACAAAACCTGCCCACAGCAATGTGGATATAACAGATACGGTAATTTGATTTGTACTTAGACACCCAAGCTTCAGAATAAAAAAAAACAAAAACAAATAGTAATAATTATTATTATAAATAATAATTGTAATACCCAATGAGGTTTCATACAGACGGAGACATCTAGTTAACTCAATTTCAAGTTCAAATGTCATATTGAATCTTTCTGGGAACTTATAATGGCTTTTAATAGTTTGGTGACAGTAAATAAATTTTTACGGTCTTTATGTGTAAACATGTTAACTTAGTTATACTACTTTAATTATTGGTAAAATGTATGCTTGTAGAACTTGGATGGATGGATGGATGGATGGATGGATGGATGGATGGATGGATGGATGGATGGATGGAGGTGAACCTGTTATCCAAGGGATTGACCTCGTCAGGAAAAAGCAATGGTATAGTTATTTCCTGCAGGTCAAAACAAAGCTGGGCCTGCTTTCCTACCTAACCAAGCACACCTCAATCAATAAAAAAAAAAAAAAAACCTTCATGGCAGACACATTATTTTGGAATAAACACAATGTGCTTGGAATTAGATTGATTGTGTCTGGTGACAAAGCAGGTTTTCTGACTTTAAGATGATACACGGTTACTGGAGGAGTGCTGTCATTTCTAATTTCAGCTTCCATAATCATAACAACTTGATTACAGATGGATAGACATGATATTTATATTTGGGCAGTATAATGGATTTCCAACAGAACACTGAATAATTGAATTCATAATAACCTAACCAGGCAATTTGGAAGACACAGATGGTGCTGTATAATGATAAATATCACCACGAATGTTGTTTGGGTTTTTCCATGCACTGTTGTACTATAATACAGATGAACAGCTGTCACCTATAAATCATATGATTTCCTTATTCCAGCACATTTTAGCTGATATTATGAATAAATCCTGAATATTAGACCAGGTGATGAAGTAAGAACAGTCTTGGAATGCTTAATATAAGAGCATGCTGTGAAAAGTCTCACGGAATTCTTTGAAATATTCTTTCAGGAAAAAACAACAACATGTATTTAAGAGGATATGGGTAATATCTCAGACAATTTCAGCTGCAGTATTATACTGTGAACAATTCCCATATTCATTTACTGGCACTGGATAATCTCCAAAGGCTTGTGTTCACAAAGAGAGACTTAACTGTCTTGGATTACACACAAATAAAAAAGCTGGTTTTAGAATTTAACAGAGTGGAAAGTTAAAGTTCAAGCAAATGTTTGATTGTTAATGCCAAGCTACTATTTGAAGATTGAGGGGGAAAAAAATCAAATGCAGAATGCTTGTGTGTTATGGAAATTAGATTGAA